ATTTCACTTGCAAACTTACCAAAATAACTACACAAAAAGTTGGTAGGTACATTAATTTTTCGGTCCCCTATCGATCTTGGGAGAACATCTCTATGGATTTCATTTTAGGATTTACAAGAACTTTTCATGGGCATGATAAGATTTTTTTGCTTATTTATATGTTCTCCAAAATATCACACTTCTTCTATTTAAAAACTAATAATGCCTTTCACATAGTCAAATTTTCTTCAAAAAAATTATAACACTACATGAGTTAAGATCAATAATAGTTTCAAATGGGTATATTAAATTTATTTAATATTTTAAAAATATATAAATTATTTGGGAAACAATTAAAATTTTCATCTCTGCATCCACATAGATGGCCAAATGTAAATTATAAATATATCGTTAAGCAACTTACTAAGGTGTTTAATTAATAAATATATTAGCACTTAGGGCATAGAGCTAATTGCTTATGAGTTCGCTTATATAATATAAATAAAAGCTTTTAAAGTTATTTATGATATATATATATACTACTTACACACACACATATATGTGTGTGTGTGTGTATTGAACTTCTTACATAAAAGCTTTTAAAGTTATTTATGATAACAAATCAAAGAAATCAACTTATTAGGCAAACACACTCACCTTTACACACATATATTTATGATAACAAATCAAAGAAATCAACGTCATTAATTTGTTGATGTTACAGTCACCTTTACACAAAACTTTCATGATATACATAAATAGATAAAGAAGAAAATCCAACCAAATAATAATAAATATGTAAATACTATAAATTTAAAATACTCTTTTAAGGAATATAATGAATGTGATTGTGTCTTAATTTGACTTCTCCTTAAGTGTATACAAACAAATAAAATAAGCTACACAGCCGAACTTGCCTTTCGTTCAAAATTTTTAAAAATTTTGGATCAAATGCTTTTCTCCTCAAATTACTTTCTTATAAGTACATAAGTCTTAATTAATATAAAGGATATATTATCTTATTAAGAAATGATTAAGCATCAAAATTTATAACATAACCCTATTGCATGAAACATAAGTCAAATGTTATATGTTTCTCATGCCCTACAACTCTTGGATATTGATAAAATTATTAGAATAACTCTCCCCATTGGCAAACACATCACCAAAAAATTTTAGTTCAATAAGAAAATCAACCTTCTTTTAAAGACACTTGGATGACCAAAAGTTAAATAAGTTTCCCCGTTGATCTTATTGATGAATAATTAGGTTTTAACTATGTAGAGTAGAAATTTTTTGAGGTCTACTAGAGTAAATGCAGGAATAATATAAGGTCAAGTACAATATCAAAAACTAAGGCACTAAACCAAGATGTGGGTTATTCACTATGCATAATTCTCCAAGCAACTCCATCGACAACATCTCATCCCTATTTAATGATTGGAAAATAATTAAGAAGCATAACTTGATGTCCTTTAATAGATATGACAATTATAATGTTCAATGATGTGCAGATTTCAAAATTACTTGATTTTAAAACGATTACACTTATTTATTGGCATGCACAAATTTTATGAATTTTAAAATCTTTAAATTTTACTTTATGACTTTCATTTTCTATCCTTCTATATTAAAATAAGTTGTTAATTTATCAATCTTAGAATATTTTATTAGCTCCTTAGGGTTTTTAAAGTTGCCCAGGCTTAGAAAAGGCCTATAAATAGGACATTTTAGATTTATTAAATACATGATTTTCATGTGAAAAAGGGTTGGTTGTTGTTTTACTCTTTAGCAAAAATTGGTGGTTAATCTCCTATGACTAGTAATCCTTTAGTTGACTTTCTTGTCCCTACACGTCTTTTTTTAACACAATTCTCATCACCCAAAAACAAGACTCAACCAACCTAAACCCAACCCCCCCTTAACCCAAGTCACCCACAACCTCTTTAAAACTCTCCAACACATTCTCCCACATACCCCCACAACATTCCAAGGTAATATACCCATCAACCCTAAGATATCTTAGCCAAAAACCCATTATAGAGAAAACAATTGTCTATTATCAATAAATTATCACTAAATGGGTTAAAAATAACATAACTCTTTAAATACTCATAAAAATACCATAATTAATTCCTTTGCATCCCAAACATTTGATCTAAAGTTTTTTCAATCATTTCCTATAAGAAAAACTTACTCCTTTATAGCCCAAAATTTTCAACATCATATTTAAAACATTGAATATGTTGTTTTCCCACTATCATATACACCACCCTAAGGGGACACCAATTTTGATGTATTCACCACTAAGATTTTATAGAACTCACGTCACCATCATCAAACAATTATCACCCGACCATGATGTTATGACCCAACCCAATATAACCTAGATTTCTTCATAGGTTATATCAAGTCTAGTGTGTGACAACATACTTGCCCAAGATCTTTTATTAGAGAGAATTTCTTTATATCATCTATATAATATAAGAGCCACTAATTCATCAATAAATAATATAAACGAAAGCCATCATCCAATATATAAACATATACATCTCAGCTCAATTCATATCAAAATATTTTATATAATAATCATGGTTCTTCTATCAATTCAGCAAAATATACTTGATCCATGATAATAAAAGAATTCATCTAAAAATAAAAGAAATACATCTAACTATAAATCTTTAGATCTGCTCCATCTGTGTCTTACTCTTCCCTAAAACATATAAAAGAGTAAGCCCACAACTCAATAGGTTTCAAATTAAGAACCTACAACTATTCAATGCAAGAAAATAGAACAATATGCATGCTATTATTAATTGAATAATGAAAGCCAATCATATGTTGAATAAATTATTATCTATGCTACTCTAATATATGTATAATATACAATGCTGCCATGATCAAGATCATTATGTCATAATCATATATAAATTTTTTTATCCTGTGGAATCACAACAAAAACTATCATATTAAAGTTATACTTTGTATAGATAGTTATATCATATTTATATTATTTCGATGGTTCACTTCATGCATAGCAATTTATGTCATCATATATATAGCCATATATCCTTACATACATCTACCGAAATCGAAATATCTTTGAAAACAATGTATACTATCAATGTCTATATATATAATCAAGTCATGTTATGTCAATGGAAATGGTCCTCATGGATATCAGGACAATTATATAATCTGCCATAACGGTCAACCCATGTCATCATAACGTTAGTATATCATCAATCACATGTATCATATCATATTATAAGTGAGGTATTCTAGAGCATTGTATCATATTAAAATTATCTTCATATATAGCACAATAATTTTATGAAGTTATCATGTATATAATAAAGCTATGCAAGAAAGAGCTTTTAGAATAATCATGGCTCATCAATAGGTGTATTCATGTCATCAAAATCCAGTTGAGAACTTAGATTTCTACAGAAATTTTTGAAGTTGCTAGTCTTGAATTCCTTTCAGCAAATTCTCTTCAAGACCATACCTCATTTGCATTGCATCCCAACAGGATTAAAGAGATTACATTACTAATCAGACATAACATAGCTCATGAAGCATGAAATCATTTTGAGTCGATGTAGTATAAAAATGACTCTTTCCCAAGGAAGAAAAGGAAGAATCTATGTTATATTTTTGCTTGATTTCCTTCGAATTTTCTGAAGTACATTTAGCTTTGCATGGAATAAAATGATGGATGTTTCTCTTCAATTTCTTTCTTCATAATCTGAGGGTATTCTAATTGAATGTTAAGACAAATTGATAATTGCTTAATATTGCAGTTAATGACATTTGGCTCAAATGTCATTAATGTCATTGAAATTTTAAAAAATCCACCTCACTGATTTTGATGAGATTTTGAGGCTTCAACCTTTATCACCTTTTTTAAAAAATTTAAAACGTTTTTTTCTAAAAAAAATGCCTCCAGATAAAATTTTTCCTTTTTTTTTCTTTCATCTTGCTTCCGTTAATATTTTTTTCAAGGTTTTTTCTCTTTGCCTCAAAAATATCCGATGCTAGGGTTCCTAAATATGTCACTACAAATTCAGCTGAAAGAAGTATGAAGCCTACACAAAGGGTTTATGGGGATTCACAACATGTACAGCATAACAATTAAAGTTTCGTTTGGTCACCTTTCTTATTATTTTATAAAGTAACTTACTAATACAAAAATTTCTAATTCATTTTTTTTTAACTAAAACACTACTTGGATGCTCAGGTGAATGAGTGGCTTTACCCTTAAAGATAAGATACGATATGAGCATATGCATAAAAAGGTTAGAGTAGCTCTAGTAAAAGATAAGATTAGAGAGAGTCGCCTTAGATGGTTTGGTCACTTAAAACGGCAGCCTTCCGAAGACCCGATTAAGAGAGTATACCCAATCCAAAACTTGATTCATCAAAAACTGAGGCTTTCCTTAAAAATCTTAAGAAGTGGTTCATCCATTATTGTTCAAAATCTCAGGGCTTCAACATTGAATAGGAAGACACCTGATAAATTCATCGGTGACACAACAGCAAAAAGATCACTAGATCTAAAAAATGATTCACGTCCATCATTGTTATTACACAAAATCACATTGTTGTGGATCAATTTCCAGACCTAATGATCACCTTGCTTTATTGCTATCACCGACAATTGTATTGGGCGTCTTCATCTTCAATGCTAGGAGCTATTATTCCGTGCGGACACCGGACGAGAAAACCGTCCAGTTAAGCGCTCGTTATCGAGCACGGTATATTTTTGAAGTGACGTGGCACATTTTTATTGGTCTCCTGACTCCCTCCAAACTTCACACAGAATATTAAATCCAATGTTAGAGCCCTAAGCTTGTTATCACTGTTGACTTCTAACAGCAATGGATGCCCACTTTTGTTCTTCATTGTTTGCATCAGGAACTTCTAGACAATAGCTTCGCAAGAGATTCAACCGTGGAAGTTTTTTTTTTTTTTGTTAGTTCAAATCATTCTGAATTTAGACAACCTGCCAATGGTAATGAATGGGAATGTTTCTTTCTCTCATGCTATCCCGCATGGAAAGGTATGCAATTGCCAACGCACCAAAATATGTTCTTGAGCTGAGTCGAGCAGCTTCATAAGTTTCTAAAATTACAGTTATTTGAACCATTAATAACATGTCCAAACCTGATCAATGCTGCGGTCTTATTGAACATAATAGCTTTTGCCTCAGAAAGTGAAAGAGAGGGCATCTCCCCCAATTACAGCTTCCATCCTCTGCATTTTGCTTGGGTCTTCAGTCTTCAAATCATGGCATACGTTCTCTTTCTCTATTTCTCTATCAGAATCCTTTAGGCCATTCTTCACTTTCTCCAGCTGATCGAGTGTTCTACATGATTGATAATGAAGCTTTTGTTCTCCACTCATTTCAGTTTCATTTTCCCTTGCAAAAACATCAGGATGAAGCAGATTTGGTTCCGCTTTATTTATCAGGATACACGAATCAGTAGGCATTTCTTCATTCCTGAAATTTATTTTGTGGTTCGGTTCAACAGTTTCTGAACAAATCTTGTTTACTTTGGGGCATGGTTTTTTATGATTTTCAATCTTCGTAAAAGAATTTTCTTTGACGGATTTTGAAATCTGCTTTGACAAAGAAGTCAGTCCGCTATCTCTAACAGTGGGAAGATCGACGGGTTTCACTTTGTTTGTTGCACCAGTATGACTAAAGCTAGCATTCTTCATCAAATTATTCTGCAGGCTTGCTTTTGGAGCTTTGTTTGAAGCACGGACTAGAGTTTTCTCCTGTAATTTCTTTTAAAAAATTAATATATGCTCAGAGGAAACATATTAAAAGTTAGCAAGTATTCATACAACTCTTTCACCTTATCAAAGTAACCAATTGTTGGCCTTGGCATCCGGAGACCTGACGGTCCGGCGTGTCTTGAGCCACAATCAGCATTTATGAAGCTTTTAGTTCGATGGCCAGTAAATGACTGAGAGAGTGAACCTGTTTAATGGGAAAAATTATTATATCCGGACAGCGTACCGAGGGTATCGAGTGGTAGTGCAGTCGGTACCGAGTGCCCAGTAATGTGGCGCTTTTTTATTGGTCTCTGGACACGTTAAGTATCCGGACGCAATAATCACCCGTTTAATGGAATGCCATATTAGAGACAGCATAAGCATTTTTAGATAACTCATATCAAGTTTTTGGATAATATAAATGATAGCCACTAACCTGAGTTTTGGAAGGCACCAAGACTAGATGAAAATGCTACTGAAGATGAAGACCCAGCATCAGAGCCTTCTAATGATTTGTCATATTTCGTAGAAGTGGAAATTGAAGATGAAGAATCTGAAACAAAACTGTCTATAGAACTAGCGGGAGAAATCTTTGATAGAAATAATGAAGATTTAGCCAAATTTTGATGATGATTCTCTAATGTGCGTCCATTTATACTAATACTCAGAGCAGTTTTACTGGTCCTTGAAGAAGAATGACCATTAACTCTATTAGCACTTGTTTTTTGGACGGTTGCTAGAGAAGAAACACTTCTAGAATCAGATGACCTGGTGGCTAGACTACCGGATGATGCGCCTAAAGTTGCTGTAAGGAGCAAACCAGTTCGAGAACCCGAATTAGGTTTTGTTAATAGAGTTGTCCTAGGAGCTATGCCTGGAACCCCATTTTCTTTATTGCAAGCTACAATGGATTGTTGCTTAGCGGTAGCACCTACAACCACAGAACAAATTGCATTCGAAATGAGTGGTACAAGTTTCTTTCTATCCATCCTCTGCTGATTGTATATCTTTTATAAGAAACAAATTTGTGTAAGTTGAAAAACCAAGAGAATTTATAGCTGCATACAAGGTAAAGCCCTTCCCTGTTACCTTTTATCTTTTTGACCTCAATAGAAGCTTTCTTGCCAGGCACTGATGCTGGCATAGGAATGGTTTTAGATGAAACCTTTGGCGGTCTGAGTAAAGGCTTTGATTCCACATTTCCATGTGAAGGCTATTCGATTGACCCCAAAAAAAGAACAAATATAGGATTAAAACATCCAAAGAAGTAGAAATAATATTTATCAAAGCATCTAAAGATCAAAGCATGCAGCCTATTTACAGGTCAAATGCAAATGTAGAGAATTATTCTTTAACCATCCAAAAGTCGGGGGTGTACAGGAAAAATCTAAAAACAATATTAGCGGATGCAGACATGTTTAAATAAAGCAATGTGAAGGGAAAAAAAGCGCACCAAGTTCATACAAACCAGACCACCCTTAGAAGTATGCTCCTGACATTGCCTGGTGGTATCATGCCTTCTCAATGCAGTTGAGGGTTTGAACTGATAGAAAATTGAACCAATTATAAACATGGCATAACCCAAAACCATTCTGACACTGGAAATAAAATACCTTGATCTCAGATGAATCATCAATTTTCTTCAGGGCTGAGAAGCAATGTGCAATCAAGTTTAGTACCTAGTTCTAACAGTGACGTGCAGTAAACAGATCCAACTATGCTAAGTGAACTTCAGTGGAAGATGTCTCCGTTGGCACGGCACAAGCAAGCATTTGAAAATCAAAGAAAAACTTACTAGTAGCATTTGGAGCATCTGACTTTTTTTGTACTTCAATCTTGTCATAATGCACCATATTTGTGGTAAGATTAGAGCTTCCCAAAGACCTTTGTATTGAATCTCGAACATTCTCAAACAAATTCACTTCAAGGTGTTCCAATGCCCAGCTATCACCCTCTAAAGTAGAAGTTGATTCTGATGATCTTCTCAATTCTTGAATTCCAGGTAAAGTGATTCCAGCTTTGCTATGTGTGTTATTCATGGTTGCTAACTCTTCAGCATTGAGAATACCTATGCAAAGCCAAAGATTCGCAAAGATAAACTTAATGATGAGGTATCAACAAAAAGGAGGATTAAAGCCGATAATTAGGCTCACCTTCACCGGTGAAAAAAGCACTATCCCAGGCTAAACTTTTGCGCAAGTTATATCTATCAGAAACTTTCTGGTTTTTCTCTGGGGAATCTGAAAGGTGAGGTACTTCTTCCAAACACTTTCTCGCCTTCTCTATTTTTTCTGCTTCCACTGTACTACCAATATTAATCCCTGAACAGTCAAATTCATCAAAAAATTTTTGATAGGAAAACCAATATGGATAGAGAAAGAGAAAATCAAGTAAATGCTATAAATTGGCAGAGTAACCATGACTGTTAACAAAATGAACCATGTGCCGCTTCTAGTTGGTTACGTACTGTCATTTACTAATTATCACCATTATATACAGAAATAGAGCCAATTGCGTTATTGTAAAATTCTAATTAAATGTATAACCTTTAGAGTTTTTTTTTTCAACTTTCTGAAAAGTTTAAGATAAATGACCATGCATGAAACTCCTAACATTAGTTATAAGACGGAAAAAAGAAAACAACATTAAGTTTTTATCTCACTACGTGGGGTCGGCCACATGACTCAATTTTCTCCATTATGTCATGTTAAGAGTCAAACTCTCATTTAAATCTAATAAAGAAATGTCATTTCTAATATTTTCTAACCAAGTCTTTTTAGGTCTACCTCTACCTTTCTTAACATAAACAAAATCTCATAAATCTACTCTCCAGGTTGAGTTATCGGAAGACCACCGTTTTATGTGACCAAAACATCTAAGTTGACTCTCTAATCTTATCTTCAACTGGAGCTACTCCAACCTTTTCATGTATATGCACGTTTCATATCATGTCTCTAAGAGTAAAGCCACTCATAGACAATATGAAAATTATCATCTTCATCATCATAATGAATCTACCTTTACCATTCATCCATGTTGAGTGTTGTACAAGTGTTAAACTTATTTTACACAAATCTTTTGCACAACTTCTATTCAAATTATCTTCAATACGCCATTTTTTATTCTCACCCAATCAACATGAAGTTTATCAACTGTATTAAATGGTGCATCTTCTATCCTTTGATGTAAATGCTTCAATGACTAAAGTATATTTTCCACTATATTATCTTCAATAGTTACTATTCTCGCGATTATATCTTTTATCTATCCATCCTTTCTTCTTTTTGCATAAAAATGTGATAAAATTCTCAATTATTATCATGCTCAATTTATTTTGCATAAAAATATCTTAAAATTCTCAATTATTATCATGATCAATTTATTTATCAATGATAAATTTACTACTCACCAATCTTATACATAGAATTTAGCTAGCCAATTAAACTTTTATAAAATTTATGTTTTAATCTCCATGTTATTCTCTTATAGATAATTTTTCATTTTAACCACATAATCTGAACTCTACAACTTACATCACGTTGATATACTAATTCTTCTATTTAATTAATTAAAAATAGTAAAAAAATCTCAATTAAACATCACTTTAGCTTCTAATAATTTTAGTAGATAATTATAAATATCACAATCACTAAAATTACATATTATATAATCAATCTTTTTTACGCTAATCACGGTTTCTTTCTTCTAACCATTATCTAGATTTTCCTAATTTTTAATATATTTCAAAAAAAAATCTCTCCCATCAGGACTATATCATCAACAAAACAGAATGCACAAAATTACATCATAGTGAAAATCTTTTGTAGCATCTTCATCTTCCTAGCCAATATAAAAGATGAATACTTATTGCTAATCATTGAAGTAAATCTACATGATTAATAACTTCTTGGTCAGTCCATAGCTACTTCTAATACTAATCAGAGATTCTTCATACATATTTTCAATAATTTCAACAAACCTTTAATGCAAACCTTTTTTTTTAATTACACCAAATCAATTCTCCTGACACTCGTTAATATGCATTCCAAGGTTAATAATGTTGAAAATATAAGAGAAGAGTACTCAATCATTTAAATTCCCAAGATCAATAATGTTGAAAGATATGAAAGAAGAGTACTTCGGATTTTTTAGTCCAATATGTAGAAGCGGTATGATATTTAGAGCCTGAATTAGGAGTTTAGAATAAAAGAAAGATACTATAATAAAACCACAAAAACTATTTACAATAAATTGAAAATTCAATGCAACAAATAAACCCTTACCAGTAAGAACAAATTTGTCGAACAACATATGGAAGGAAGAGATAGCATATTGCAATGGTGGTGGATCACATGGTTGGCGAAGCAAGTTTGGAGGCAGCAAAATGCCAAGGTGATAAATTAGTGGTTAGGTGTCTTGAAGGATGCATGCAATAAGGCCAATTGGAGGGCCAACAGACATTGGCTGAGGCATGAGGAAAGGCAGGCAGGCTTAGCTAAAAAAGGCTGATATGTTGGATAGGCAGATGGATCCTAAAAATGTTGTACCAGTAGTAGGCAGGGCACCCAGTGTAGATCAAACACCAATAGGAACTAATGTTGTTAATATAACATAAGGCAGCTTAACGCAAATGCAAATGATGAGTATGATGATGCAGTTGATGGAAAATATGCATTCTTTGGTGGGAGCTACAACACCTGATGTTCCACCTGTAGTTACACCAATCACGCTTACCACTCCTGATAGTAGTGCAAATGTTGAGGCAAGTGCTCTGGTGGGAGCCGAAGTGGATAAGCATCTAAAGCTATTTCAAAGTTTAAAATCTCCATTATTTAAAGGAGGAGTTGATGCCAGAAGTGCTGAAGACTGGATTATCAGGATAGAGATGATTTTAAATGGAATGAGATGTCCTGAAAATAGACGTGTATCTCTGGCAATCTTTATGCTAGAAGGTGAAGCTAAAATGTGGTGGAGGGGACAACAACTAGAGAGATTCAGAGGTAAATCCGAGGAACAAATTATGTGGGAGGAATTTGAGCAAGTTTTCAAGGAGTGGTATGTTGCTCCATCAGCAAGACAAGGAATGCAGGAAAGCTTTGTAAATCAAAAGCAATGAGCAAAAACTATTATTTAGTATGAAGCAGAATTTACAGCTCTGTCAAGATATGCTCCTCAACTTATCAATGAGAAAAAGTGTTACAGATTTTTAAAAGGATTGAGGGATTCACTAAAACAACCATTAATTTCTCTTCTCATAAAAGATTTTGTTGAATTAGTGGAAAGTGCTAGATTGCTAGAGAATGATATAGAAGTGGTTAAATAGAAATGGGAGACTGAAGGTAGAAAGAGAACATGATCATAGAGGTGGATCATCCTAAAAGTAGAAATTCTATCATAACCAACCACGATAGCCTATGAGATTACCTAAAATAGCAGTTTGTGCAAATTGTGGAAAATCCCATCTAGATACAAAGAAGAACCAACTTTCAGGAATGAACGAATCAATCTTATCCCATGTGTTCTTCCCATTTCACCACATTACAACAACAACATTAAGCTTTTATCCCACTACGTAGGGTCAGCTATATGAATCATTTTTCTCCACTGTGTCCTATTAAGAGTCAATTTCTCATTTAAATCTAGTTAAAAAAGGTCATTTCTAATATTTTATAGCCAAATCTTTTTATGTCTACATCTACCTTTCTTAACATAAATCAAATATAATACATCTATTCTCTTAAATGGGTCATTGGAAGACCGATAATTTATGTGATCAAACCATCTAAGGTGACTCTTTCTAATCTTATATGTCACTAGAACTACATCAACCTTTTCACATATATACTCACTTCGCATTTTGTCTCTAAAAGTAAAGCAACCAATGATGCACAGACACACCTCTTAAAGAGAGAATGCAGTGTCGGACAAGTGTCAGACACGGTCCCACGGATACGTGCCCAAAACGGCTAGGACACGTGTCAGACACGACAGACACGTGTCCGATTAAACTAATATTTAAATTTAATAGGACACAGCTGGGACACTTGTGTCCTAATTTGTTATGATAAAATTATTTTAAATTATAAATTTTTTATATTTCTATATTTACTAAATCAAATAAAATATCACATTCGCTCATATATGCATCAATACGATTATTGAAAGGCATGATTATTAGAAAATGAATCATTTATTTTAGAGGAAGTAATGATTATTGAAAACTTTAATGCCTACCTGTGTTTGCAATATTTAGTAACATGGAATAAGAAGAATTTTGATTATGTTTGGAATATCTTTATATGCATGCCCGTATTGTAATTCTAGTTGATGAAATTTGTTGAAATAGATGAAAATTTAGAATAATATAGAATATATTTAGAATATAAAATATTTAAGATTAATATATGATATTCAATAACTATTATGGGAGAGAATTAGAGAAGTATAGAAGTAAATAGAAACATTCTTTGTGATTAAGATTAGAGGTTAAAGAAATATTATGGGAGAGAACTAGCAAACTAGAGAAGTAAATAGATACAAAGAAGAACCAACTTTTATTATATGAATATCCAATGAACTATTGCAAATCTTTCTCTTGATGAACAAGAGTTGGAAGCAGTGATATTCAATGATGATGATATTGAAGGTCAAAAACAAACCTCTGAAGTTAATCTTAGTAGTTGAAGCTTGAATGCTTGATGTTGTAGTAAATAGTTTTTTGCTTATATTTTTGTGGTTGTACTAAATAGTTTATATTATAAGCTAGACAAGTTATCATGCCATTCATTTATTATTGTTTGTCATTTCTAATGTGATGTTATATTAATATCTATATAATATATTAAAAAATGTAATGTCATGTCCGCGCCGTACCCGTATCCTATATTTTCAAAAAAAATCATGTCTCGTGCTCGTGTCGCTGTGTTCGTGCATCATAGAAAGCAACTCATCCACCCGAGCATCCTCATCTCTACAACATTTAACTTAATTTTATGTTTCTTTTTCCATGGCCAACATTATGCCTCATAAAATATTACAGGTCTCACCACCATCTTCTAAAACCTTAAATTTGATAGATACTTTTCTATCACCAAACAAGCCTAATGCACTCCTCCATTTGAACCATCCAACTTGAATTCTACAATAAAATCCTCATGTATTTCACCATCACTTTTAATAATAGACCCTAGATATCTAAAACATGTACTATTTTTAATTACTTGATCATCCAAAGTCACAATTCCCACACTAGATCTATTATTACTATTATCTAGTATTTGATTTTAGATCTACTCAAACTAAAACCTTTAGACTCTAAGATTGACCTCCATAATTCAAGTTTTCCCTCAACTCTCTCTATAGTCTTATCAACAAGAAGAATATCAACAGTAAAAAGCATACACCAAGGTATATATGTGACGCCCTGGGATCTAATGGAAGGATTAAATCCTTAAACTTAATTTTTCTCAAATCAAAATGATAATATCAATTTAAACATCACTTAATTTCATTTCACAAAAAGAAATATATAATAATCCATTGAACAGGAGATCTATACATCAGCAGAATTAAATATTTGATTGCAAAAGAATACATCAACTGCCCTGAATCAGAATATCCTCTCCTTATCTCTCTCTACTCCACTAGGCCCTTCCCTTTTCATAAAATGTCACAGTAAAATAACAAAGTGAGCACCACTAACTTAGCAGACATCTTTCACAATTCCATCACAGATGTCAATATCCATTTAAAATATAAATAATAATGAGTATCCAGTTAATCAGTAAACGATAAACTAAGTGTTAGCAAAATTACTTTCTTAGGATCATCAAAATTGTATTTAACTTTAGGCTTATTACTTATACTTTCACATATGGCCTTTACAAAAATATTAGAGATGTTAGAGTACACTTGCTATTAGAATCTTTCTTGCATGTAACTTTCTTATTTCATCAGAATGTAAACATAAATTTTAGAGTTATTAGAGTATGTTCAAAATATTATTGCATTTGATTCAGATAGTTTTCAAAATATGCTATGCATGAATATAATGCATATGTCTCAATGCCTACTTATAACTCTACTTCTACTTATAGCTCTATTTAACCTCCCACACCCACATATGGGGCCAGAACATAATAGAAAAACCTCTTAAACCCGCTTTCAGCAAGTAGGGTCAGAATCCCTCCCACATCTACATAAGGCAAATGGGGCCATAACGGAACATACATGGCCCTTGTATTATTTCAAATAGTGCATTTGTAACATTTCAGAATTCAAAACTTCTCCAATACCATTCCATGAATTATGCAATTTGAATACAACAATGGCACATTATGGCTTTAACACATGATTCTGACGTGCACGAATTATTAGAATTGCCAATATTAAATCAAATTTTATGCATAAAATTCTACTCATTAAATATTTTTCATTTCAATAATAATTTCAAAGAAATATCCAGAATAACATTTTAAATCCCCCTCAAACTTAAGGGAAAATTCTATAAGATGGTGGTGAGACCTACAATGCTTTATTGTGCCGAATGTTGGCCACTAAAAGAGAAGCATAATACTAAGTTAAGTGTTATAGAGATGAGGATGCTCAGGAGGATGAGTGGCTTTACCCTTCAAGATAAGATACAAAATGAGCCTATACGGAAAAGTTTGGAGTAGCACCAATGAAAGATAAAATTAGAGAGAGTCGCCTTAGATGATTTGGTCACATAAAACGGCAGCCTTTTGATGACCCAGTTAGGAAAGTAGAGGTATTAGATTTGACTTATGTTAAGAAAGGTAGAGTAGATCTAAAAAGACTTGGTTAGAATATATTAGAAATGATTATTCTTTATTAGATTTGAACAAAAATTTGACTTTTAATAGGACACAATGGAGAAAAAGGATTCATGTAGCCAACCCCACATAGTGGGACAAAGACTTGATGTTGTTGTAATGAATTATCTTGAAAATTAGAAATGCCTCATTTATTCAATACATATAAAAAGGTGCACAGTGAAAAATGTCAAAAAACCTATATATATATATATATATTCATATCTTTATGAAATCACTAGAATTGAGATCAGAGATGGGTGTTCAATCGTGCTCTATGAAATTATCAACTGACCCAGTGGATGAAACTCGTGCTTTTGCCTCTAAATTCGTCTCCTCCTTTTTCTCTCTCCTTATCTCCCTCACCTCTCTTCTTCCTTCAACGGCAAGGGAGCTAATGGATGATGGTAAAATATATTTAGATATTTTATTTTTTAAAATATTATTTTGGATCTGGCAATACGGTGGTCACCTCCCCAAAGCTGTTGCGCTCAATCGAATATTCCAAATCCTCCAAGACTATCTTAAATAGAGAACTTGGCACTGCGGCAGCAACTTTAATGTCGCGACTCCTCTCTTATTTTACCTCTCAAACAAATGCCTAGTAAGAGCATTCATGACTAAAGCAAAAAAGAAATGGGCTTAATGTTGGTCCTTGATGTAATCCAACTGAAAAAAGAAAACACTTGGTCAAACCACCTTATATTTGAACATAAGTAACAGCTCCTACATGCATATCCTTAATGAGTTGAATATAAGCATTATTAACTCCTTTCTTTTCTAGAATTCTCTAGAGCACTTCTCTTGGAATTTTATCATATGCTTTCTCTGATCAATAAATATCATATGTAGATCCTCCTTATTCTCTTTATATTTGTTCATCAAACCTCTTAAAAAATGTATAGCTTCCATAGTAGAACTACCCGGCATTAAGAAACTATGACATTGCTAAGGTTTTGTACATTGTTCCCCTAAAATTGAATGACAGGAGGAGAGGTCTCCCACCACTTATCATCATTCTTAATATTATCCTAACTAATTAGTTGATTTTATAAATCCTCATTTTTCATTTGTTCCTGATGAGTGAGGTCTAAGGTCCCCGACATTAACAGCTATAAATGCTTCTAATGAAAGTGGAACATAATCAGTGTAACAGGAAGAAACTGATTTGCTTTCTTTCAGCTTTCTAGCCAAAATAGCAAAACTATGTCTTCTTAGCCATTTTCTTCTGAACTAATTAAAAGTAAACCAATTTTTGGTTCTGGAAAGCGATACGATCTGGAATGCTGCAAGAAATCGATAAGCATCGCACGGTTTAAATAGCTTATTTCTTTTAAGAACGTACCATGGAAAACCTAGTTACGAAAATCCAGTCAAGAAGAAACCAAAAGCACAACAGCAGTTCACCGTGATAAATCACAGATAAAGAAAATAAAGATTGCACCACGTGACTAAAAGAAACGTAATAAGAGATGAATCAAACGAAACAAACATAAAGAGATCATAGATATCAGTGGGGCAGAAGTCGCGAAGTGAGGCCAACCTAATTCCTGCAAAGAAACTGGTATAAGGAGATCATCCACCGACGAAATTTCAATAAGAGGAACGTCCTCCATGCTTTAAATTGTCGACAAGACGTCTATTAGAGTGGCGGATCTGCGAGACGAGAAATGTTCTTCGATGAGTGAGATTAGGGTTCGAAGTGGTTCAAGAGGAGGAAAAGGAATTCAAAATTGTGGCGCATGGATTTGGAGACAGCGACTTGGAGCAAAGAAACATACAGCTTGTCACAGCCCAAAGTGTTCGGATATAAAATAAGCGTGTCTTTATCATATTTCAAACCAGCCAAAATAGTATTAAATAAACCCTCAAAGCGGGAGAATTGTAGTAAATTTAAATTAAGATTTTTAAAATTATTATCATAATATTCGGATCTAATTTTGTTTATATTAATAAAAATGAAAATTTTAACTTTAAATCCCTCATAATATCAGAAATAGTCATGTTGTTTATTTTATTGTGAAACTATACTCAAAATTTTATTTCGTACTAAATTATCCCAAATAACAAATTATATGTTATACTCATGATTTTTTGAATTTGAAGTATATGAAATAGGTTTGGTCGGGTTTGAATTCATACTGGCTCAAGCCCCTGTTCAAACCTAATGTAATGCTCTTCAATCTTTTTGTTTAATTTTGTGGAGGGAGATCTCTAATTATGGGTGTCAATATTTTGCGCAACCCGAAAACTCAATCTGAAAATTTTGTGTTAGGGTCAACCCGAACCCAAAACGATTCGGGTTTTGATTCAACAATTCAACCTGATTCAAAAATCAAGTCGGGTTCTTGTTCACCCTTTGACCCGAAATTGACCCGAAACTATCTCGTTTTGACTCGAAAACCCATTTTTGACCTGGTAACCCGAGATTGAGCCATTTTGGACCTATTTTTAACCCGAAAAATGGAGATTGACCTATTTTTTGACCCAAAAACTAGCATTTTTTGTTAGCACCTAGTCATTTGGGTCGTGTCGGGTTGACACGAAGCCAAAGCGGGTCGGGTTCGGGTATGAAAAACCAATCCATTTTTAAAAAAGGGTCGATTTCGGGTTAACCCGAGTAGTGCTGGGCAGGGGTGTCAATTTCGGGTCACGGGTTGGGTTCGGGTCGAACCCGAAACTGTTCGGGTCAACCCGAACCCGACCCGTTTTTACAAACGGGTCAGTTTTTCGGGCCCGAACCTGACCCGCTTCGGGTTCGAGTCAACTAGACGCGGCAGCCGGCGAGCCCTCATGCAGCCAGGTCGCGGGCGCTAGCCTGAACGCCGCAACCCTCACGCGGGTGATGGCCTAGATGCGGCAGCCGACGAGCCTGGGCACGAGCTCGGGTCCTCCTCGGGACAAGCAGCCTGCCGTGGTGCCGCCCTGTCTATTTTCACATGATGGGGCAGCTTAATGCAAGCGGGGCAGGGCGGGATTTTCCACGGCTGATGGTGCAGCGGCAGGCAAGCGGGGTAGGGCAGCGGGCAAGTGGGGCAGGGTAATGGGGCAGGGCGAGATTTGCCACGGGCTGACGGGGCAGCAGCGGGCAAGCGGGGTAGGGCAGCGGGCAAGCGGGGCAGGAGCGAGATTTGCCACGGGCAGACGCAGGCAGCTCGGTCAGCGGGTCAATCCGGGTCATTTCCGGGTTTTCGGGTCAACCCGAACCTGACCCGATTTCTAAAACGGGTTGAAAACTCTAACTCGAACCCGACCCGGTTCGGGTCCGGGTCGGATTTTCGTGTCGTGTCAAATATTGACACCCCTAGTGCCGGATCAGTTTCGAGTTTGCCCTGAACCCGACCCGTGACCCAAAATTGACACCTCTATCTCCCATAGCGAACTCCATACAATATTGTACTGCTTGTAATCCTTTTGACTTTTTAATTAATGCAAATGTAACTAAAGCAAGCTCCCATTACGAGCATCTCCTCTCTTAAATACGCCGCTAGTCCCCATCACATGCCACCACTCACATCAACACCTTCCCCTCAACCTCCATCCAGTTTTCCCCACCGCAAACAATGATGTTAGCAATGTTTATTGCTCTCTTCAATTCCATAACAAAAAATGATATACTTCGTTTGGTTTGACTTCAGCATGGAATGAAGTTCAAAACCTGGTTCAAAGGTTTAAATAAATTTTTGATTTCAAATTATTTTGAACTAAATTCAATTGTAGAACTTCAATAAGCAACTTGCATATACAATAAAATCTCTATTTTGATCTGAAAATAAATAACATATATATTTCTTCAATTTTGACTATTAAGAAGGACATAAGTCGAGTTTTCTTTAATATTCCTGCAAAATGGGAGAGCTCAAGGTTATTTATTAATATTTTAATTATATTTTAATATGAAATAAAATATATTTGATTGAATATCACATAAATCTATTTATTTTCTAATTTCTAAAACAAGAAGGTTTACAAAATACTAATCAAATAATTTTTTCCCTAATTTTCAAAAAAAAAAACAAAAAATTGATGTTAAAGATGCCATCTCTTTATTGCCTAAATTTAAAGAGTTAAAATAAATGGAAAATATTATATAGCTAGTTGTTAAATAACTAGAAAAAAACAATAGAAGCAATACATACATAATATTTAAATTTACTTACCTATAAAATTAATGTCCTCATATCTTTATTTTTAAAAATCTTCTTTAAGCATCAAAATTCACAATAAAATTTCAATCCACTTTTTTTTTATTACTTTTGCCAAAATTTTAATAATTTAATGGTTGCATGCACAAAATGGGGTTTGATAATTTTAAAAATAATTTAGATGTTGATTTTATGCATTAAAAAAAATTATGATCTTAAATGTGTATGAAAAAAAGGAGTATATGCTTAACTTGCAATCATAGTTAATAAGAAGATAAAATAATTTACATTATTTTTACTTTCCTTCTTTGTACAGATGAAGAATAGACAGTGGCGGATCCAGCCCTTTTTTTTAGGGTGGGCAAACTCGATATATATAAAAATATAAATACAAAAAATATAGATATATTTCACTAACAAAATTCAAAACAAAGTATTATATTTCATCATAATTTTTGAAATTAAAAAGAAAATTAGAAACTCTGCATTCTACTTTGCATTTTCTGATAATGTTGCATAATGACTTCATTCGGAACAGAATCAAATACTTCTTTTTCAATATATGGCACTAGACAGTCATTAAGCCAAGCATCGCCCCTTTTGCTACGAAAGCATGCTAAATGAATCTTCATTGCAGAACAATGCTCTTTACCACCGTAGCAGAGAACTCGGTAACGTTCAGTTGCAAAAACATAAGTTATAATAGTGGTACACACATTTTTTATCCTTTACATCTAGTTTGCTAGAGCAGCAATGCTAGTTAAAGAAGTAAACTCATCGCTAGTAAAACAAGAAATAGACAATACTAAATGAAAATGGGATGATCAAATGTTGTGTATTTGTTAACATAATCAGAATTTTTGTTAAAATTTAAGTTAATGTAATCATGTCTGTTAAATTTGTCCTATTTGTTTCGATATCATTCTTTGGTCAATATTTCTGTGCATTTGTTTTTTTTAGTAATAAGCTTTTTGCAAAGTTACTTCTCCACCAGATATTATTTGAGTAAAATTTAAAAGATAGTCTTAATTGAATCTATTTGGTGATTACGAATTTAAATTATATTATATGATTATGTAACCAAAATTGCTGTACCATGCAGTTCTCAATCCATGTTTTATGTTGAGCCATTACTCATTTGATACTAACAAAACTAGAATTTTGATAAAATTGGTTACAGTAGGTGCCAAATTTCCTGCAATCAAAGTGAGGTGCCTATTTATAAAGTTAATGCTGAATAGTCCCTCCTCGCACTATTTGATTAGTTAAAAATCAAAATTTTGAAACTAGATTTTAAAAAACTGCATGTTCTGTCAACGATCTGTTTTTCTAATCAAAATCAAACAAACAGCAGAACTCGGTAAAATATTGATGAAACCTAGCATAAACTCCAACAACATGAAAAAATGACGAATTAAAACCTCACCAAATACTCAATTAAACTTCTCTAAATGAACTGGAATTAAAACATAGCATAAAAAAACTCAACAGGAACAAAAATCTTAAAAACTTGTTCATTCTAATCAAATCACCCAAAAAAGGAAATACGCGCGATTGAGCGAGCTACCTTGACGTTGTGAGGACGAATGGCGGGTAGCAAGCGAGCAAGACAAACTGAGATCTAGCTGAAGGCTGAAGCAAAGTCAAACGGTTGAAGGCTTTTGAAGGCTGAAGGGCGAGCCAATCTACGGATGATGCCGGACACGGACCAACTGACGATCGGCATTGAAGGCTGAAGCAAAATCCACGAACAAGACGGCGAAGACGAAGTGCGAGATAGAAGAGGCGACGATGCCGCGAAGACGAAAACCTGCGGAGACCGGGAGACGTCGAGGCGATGCATAGAGCATTTGCCGAAGAAGAAGCGACGCCGAGCGGAGAAGAGAGCTGGGATTTGCGAAATATGCAGGCGGCTGCGAATGGAAATATTGGGCAAGCGCTACTCTTCTTTGTTGGCAAAATTTATTTTCAGTGAGGCAACATTACCGAAATTTGCCCCTTCCTCATGTATTTTTTTTTTTAGGGTGGGCATTTGCCCACCCTGAGAATTCCAACATTATAAACATTCAGACTTTGTTTGGACGGCTTTCTTACTGTTTTATAAAGCTATTTTTATATAAAAATCTCGTTATATCTTATGATTCAAACCATAGGGGGGGGGGAGGGCGCTAAGGGGGGGCCACGTGCCCCCCTATTCTTTTTTTCTATCTCTTGGCTGCATGTGTTAAGAGTTTAAAGCAAATAAATATTTATCACTTTAATAGGATTGATTCATAGTAGATTTAGTTCGTTTCAGGTTGATATGTAGTAGAGAGTGTTGGAAACAATTTGAAACCTGAGATAGCTTTGATATATTGGATAAACTTCTCATCTCTTAGGAAGAAAATGAACATTCTCCACTCATCTAAATATTTTTGATGGCTTCAAAAATAAGATCAAGAGCACTATTATGTTGTGCAATGTGAAAACTAGTCGCATAGATAATTTTTTTTTTATAAGAAAAGTAAGAGATTGAGGCATAATTATTTAGTCACCATTTTTACTACATTTAGTATATACATTTTAATTGAATTTTTTTATGTTTTGTACTCATTTTAAAGCAAATTTAAGTGTGGATGATCAGTTTACATAAAAAAATTAACATTCTTTTTATAAAAAATAAGACTTAAAAATTCCCTAATTTAGCATGCAAGAATATGCTTTAGGTTTTGTTCGGAATAATAATCATAACAATTTTCACAATAACTTTCTTATAAAAAAGCTTACTCTGGCAACAATATCAAATCACATGCCCAAATGGAGATCGCTCCAAAATGGCTTTTTTCCCCTCAACCCAAATTGTCTGTTTCGTTTTCCCCTTTGCTCCTCTCTCGCAACTCACAACCTCGAGCACGGTTTTTGTTTTCCATTTCAGTCATCTTTCGTTATGTTATTTGCATTCTTAATTTTGATCTTACAGCTCCTCTTGGCTCTAGTAATGAGACGACAAATGAAACTATATTAATTTATTAATCTAAAATTTCATATGAGATGGCAGACCGTTAGAAAATTGACCATGGAAAATTGACTGTCTGAAAACTGCGAAAAATTGACCGCTAAAAAATTCTACTTGTAATAGGTGATTTTCCTGTAGTTTTTAATTTATGCCCCCCCTGAATAAAATTTCTGGCTCCGCCACTGATTCAAACTGATATCAAATCAAAGATCAAACTTTTAATTTAATATTTTTAGAGCAGTATTCAAACACATCGAAAAATGGTTTGAACTAAGTTCAAATCAAGTTGGAACAATGCAAGAAAAAGGATCCAAATAATGGTCAAATCAAGTTCAAATATATATATATATATATATATAGCAAAATCATCATAAAGCGACCACATAAAGTTAGATAATAAATTACATAGCCTAGTTTTACGCTTACAACCAAAAGCAAATAAAAGAGGTCTACTAGTAGCATCATTATTAAAATGTTTCATAGAACAGCAGTCAGGACCGTCGGGGACGGCCAGGTCAGAGGGGAACTGAAGGACATTACGGCGGTTCTCAATGTATAGTGGCGATTCAACAGTCGGTCCGGTGGCTCTATGCTGGCATCCGCGAGCAAACGCATCGCGTCAGCATAACAACCACCACCCCGAAATTTGAATGAGTCAATACGCCAGTCGACCATCTCGCCACCGCCGATAATCTTCCTCAGCCCCGCCTCCCACTTACTCCTCGCCAGTGGTATCCCTCTTACGTCGATTTTTCTTTTCTCTGCGAGCAGAACGATCCTTGGGTGGTTTCTGATCATGTCCAGGTTGAACAGTCGAAGTTCGGTGGCGCGCCCGATGCTCGGTTTCAGCTTCCTCCCCATCTGCCTCTTCTCCAATAACAGGTTCGCCAATTGGAGGTGGGACAACGGATTCGTAGAACTCTGCGGCAGTTTGGCGCTGATCTTTCCCACTGGGATCTGCTCCATCAGTTATAACCGTTGCTCCAGTGGAAACCGTAGTAGTAACGTCTGCACCCATGACTTCCAGGAGGCCTCGAAATCTACGGGCGGCCCGTACGTTACGGACCGCCTCAAAGTTACCGATCTTTTCACGAATGTAGGCCTGAATGGCGTCGGTGTATCCATCCTGGCTGGCGTACTCGAACATGTGTCTCTTACGAACGAGCACAGAGTAAGTGTGGACTGCGTCAATCAGATTCTTCTCATTGATTGGGGCCGGAGACTGGCCGGTCAGAGCTGCTTCATGTAAGTAGGACTGCCAACAAGCCTTGTTCATTTCAGGAACAGTTAGAGGGACATAGACGCCCCCAGGGAATTTGCTCTCCTTGATCTTATTGACGTTCTCGTCGATACGGGCACGGATCTCACGGATCTGGAGCTCCAAATTAGCTATCTCAGCCTCCTCGGACTTACGGTAATCTGTAACTTCATTGGCAGTATCAGTGATTTGAACCTCAAGGCCGGCGACGACCCCTGCCTCCTGAGCAGACAGGACATCACCGCCGCGCCTGGCCAGTCTGTCCCGTTGCGCCATCCTGGAGAAGGTTTCCTGCCCGGTTGGTGACTTCAGAAACTGCAGAAATCTGGTGAACTGGGCCATGCGTGCCCCTCTGAAAGTCCCGAAGAAACGCTGACTAATCCCAAGCTGTAACAGCTGCTCACAGCGACCAAGGTCATCGATATCTGCGAAGGGACGTAACATACCTGCGTAGATGCCATCAGTGAAGCCAGCAGTCATATAAGTCTCGTAGCGGAAGAAGGACTCATTGATCCCAAGCGTGACGAGGGAGGAGGCGGCAGAAGCGATGACCTCTTTGAATTTCGTAGGAGGTGGAGGGCGAACTTCAGAGGGGAGGGTGTAGGATGAGCTAGCACCTGCCATGGTCGTCTGAACGAGCAGAAAAGCACGAGTACGCCGGAGGCTCACAAGAATCAGAAGGTATCTAATTCTTTTATTACAAAAGAATTTCTTCGAAGAAGTTCAAAAGTTAAAACTACATTTGAGTTAAGTTTGTACAATAATTAGAAGAGATCCAAACAAGGGCGGACCAAAGGCCAAGTTTGTTTTAAGTAGATTTTAAATTATTTAAATAAGATTCAAATTTGGCAAAAATAATATTCGATCGAGTAAATTTTAATTGTGATTCACATAAAGTTAGACCAATATAGACTTGTTTGAACCTTATCGATTATTATTCAAACTTTGTTTGAACATAATTTTATTATCTACATGATTCCCTACTTACATCTCTCTCTCAAAATGACTAATAACACATTTTCAAATAATTTCTTTTTTTATTCATAATCAATAGAAATCATTAAGCAAATCGTTTTTAAGTATGCATCAATAACATTTAAACATCAGAAATATTTATTTATAGATGTCTAAGATTTCTTTTGGGGCAGCTTTCTTACTGCTTCTTAAAGTAATTTTTTAGTACAATAATTTTTTAAATTAAAAATTTTGCTCTAAAAAATTATTTTACAAAGCAATAAAAAATTGTCCCAAATGAAATCTATGTTTAATTCAAATATTTCATTAAAACTTTCTAATCGTTATAGTGATCTTTTTGCTGTGATGTCAAAACAAAAAACAAAAAAACATCTCATAAGTTAATAAGAAATAAATGATTGAATGTATGTGACCAAATTAGAAATGGTGTGAGTCCATATTTTTAAATTAGGACATCAACAAGAATTAAGATTGCAATCTAAAAAATAAAATATTAAAAAAATTTATCTCAAATAGACCCTTAAAAGTAATACATCCTAAAAAAAAAAAAAAAACAATCATCCTAGAAAACATAAAGTTTGATCCAATGCAATTCCACAAGATAAACCCAACTATTAAAAAAGTGGTTGTTTTTTTACTAACAAATCATTGGATATAGAACTAGAAAGATTATTACGTGTAGAGTCCGAACGTAGAAAATCATTCAATTTTGTGAATGAGTAGTAAAAACGCTGTTATTGTTCACCACTGTACTACGTTTTTACTATTCAATTGCTTTTAAGTATGCCAATTGACTCATTAAAATGAAGTACAATAGAAAGTGCTCAAATGCATAATATGTACATAAACGATACATGTACACAGACAACCATTCTTGCACTTGCGCCTATCGAGCTTCAAAGTTGGGTGGTTAGATTCAGTGGAAGCTTCACCACATTCCTGTATTTAATTGAATTACAATTGGTTCAGTTCAATCAATAACAAAGAAGCTTGATTTGTAGATCAAAAGCTAAAAAAAATAGATGGAAATCATATAATGGCTAACCTTAGGACTAAATTCATCTTATAATCCCTGAACAATACTGAAGACAGAAATCAGAATTTCGACGCCTATCAAGACAATGATAAGCCACTCCAAAAAGACTGACTTCCTGTTTTCAAGAATTTCCTGAAGGAAGCGAATGTTATGCTGCATTGAGAGGAAATGAAAGAAAATGTTCATATTCAAGCTTTGGACAGTAAATAAATAGATTGATAATTTTGATGAGAAAGATGTTAAAAGGATTCCAGAAGAGGAAATGGCCATCCATTCAACTTACCTCAACGAACTTTAACTTAAAATCAAGGTTTCCAAACCTTTGACTAAGCTCATATTCGTCCCGAAGATATTCCCAAATCTGAGCATAATTCGCATTTCTCCAAGCAATATCTGTCCTGTAAGAATACAAATATTTGAAACTATTTTGATGGAGATGTAGAACCTTTGTTTCCCTAGGAAGAAATGGAAAGCCCCAACAGAATAGAACAATTCAAATGAATATCTTTTTAATGAGAGCATGAAATACTCTCTTTCCTATAGATTTCCTGAACTAAGAGCCTCCCGAGATATTAAGGTTTCGTTTGAGACAGTTTTTATATTGCTTTTTAAAATGACTTTCTAGTTAAAAAAAAATTGATTCAAAAAAAAAAATTTGTACTGAAAAGCCTGTTTTAGAAAGCAGCAAAAAAATTAACCAAACTAAGGCTAAGCTTACTGGTTTTAAACCACAGCTGATGTCAGCAGAAAGGCTTGAGTTCTATTACACTGGAATGTATTCGGGAGGGTTGATTCAGAAACCTAATGTGTTATTTACCAGCACCAAATACAACTATATATATATATATATATATATATACTATATTAATGAAAGATGAAAGGTGCCAAGAGACCATCAAGAGGATTAATTATTCTGTGCGGACGGCGAACGCCGTCCAGAGAACAACCAAAATACGCCACGTCATCCCCTCGCTCAGTATCGCGGCTCGGTATCGCTGAAGTGGCGTATTCTGGTTGGTCTCCAGATGACGTTCCGCGTACGGTCTCCGCACAGAATAATTTCTCCATCAAGAGCCTATTACACAAACATATGGCTAGAATTTTTTAAAGAATCAAATGAATCAAGCAGTTGAGAAAATCAAGATTACCTCTCAAAAAGTCCAAGTTTTAGAATGACATCTGCCATGTTTGAGTTTGCTTTTCCAACCAACTGAAAAAGTTTTTTCCTTTGCATGGTAAAGGTACCAGTTTTTTCCATCCCTCGGTTAATATCAGTGAATTCTGCAACCATTCCATCAACCTAAACAAGATGGAGAATTCAAGTCATATATTATCCTTTAAAACAGTTGACAATATATCAGTTTTTAGTAATCTATTCGAGACATACTTGCCGGATATAGTAGTCTAAAGCAATGCTCTGACCAAGAACACTTCCAATTGTTCGGATTCCATCTATGCTCAAATTCTTAAGCATGATGTAATCAAGCCCACCTTGCATCCATACATCCAGAGTAGGCTTCTCTACTACGGCATAATCTAAAATTAAATAGAAAGGTCTTATCAAGCAAAAGCTAAGCTTCTTTTCAATCAGCAGTGGATATCAAAGGGAAAAATAACGAAATAGCATAGATAGCTACTAACATTAAAAGTACATTTTAATAGCCACATGCATGATGAAATAATTCACATAGAAACTCAAAACAATATGTCACAAACCTTTCAAATGTATCAAATACAGGCTTCAAATATAAAGTAAAACTGATTTGCTTCTGCAGTTATGACTATCTTTGTATAATTAGGCATACTTAGCCTATTACAGGAATTATGTGCAGACGCCGAATGTCTTTTGGAGACCAATCAGAATGTGCCAAGTCACTCTTTGCTCGGTACTACTTGGTGTCGCGGCTCGGTATTGCTGATATGATGCATTCTGGTTGACTTTCGAACGGCGTTCTGCATCCGCTCTCCGCACAAAATAATTTCTCCCATTACAGGGGTGCATCCCATAGTTTGCCCAACAGCAACCCACGCATAAAACTAGGGACTGTTGTGTCCTCCACCACCAGTCAATAAACCCAGCAATCTACAGCCTGCTTATCTAACAAACTTATTCACCTTACCAACTACTAACCTAAACTGCACATTTATGATCTAAAGGAGTTCAGTAGTTAACCAACCCAATCATGGCTCTATAGCATAGAGCTTATCATATTCAAGTGATGGATGTATAAGCAAATTTCATCTGCAACATAACCTAATACAATAAAGCCCCTAAAATTATAGGAGAATGCATCAAACCATTTTTATTGTTTTACATTAATATGATACGTGTATAACATCATAAGGTATGGCAGATAAACCATCTATGCATAATTGTAGAAATAAATCATACTTCCATCCTTTTTTTAGATATCTTGGGTCTATTGTTCAAAATGATGGTAGAATACATGGGGATATTATTAGTAGAATTGAAGTTGGATGGTTGAAGTGGAGGAATGCACCGGGTACGTGGTGTGATAGAAAAGTGCCCCTCAAACTTAAGGGAAAATTCTATAAGATGGTGATGAGACTAGCAATGTTTTATGGCACAGAGTGTTCACTATTAAAAGATAAGCATAAAATTAAGTTAAATATCACAAAGATGAGGATGCTTAGGTGGATGAGTGGCTTTACTCTTAGAGACAGAATGTGAAATGAGTATATACGTGAAAGGATGGAGAAACTCCAGTGGCAGATAAGATTAGAGAGAGTCGCCTTAGATGGTTTAGTTACATAAAACGTTGGCCTTCCGATGATCCGGTTATGAGGGTAAATGTATTAGATCTTAACTATGTTAAGAAAGATAGAGATAGACCTAAAAAGTCTTGGTTAGAAAGTATTCGAAATGACATTTTAATTAAATTTAAATAAAAATTTGACTTTTAATAAGACAAAAAAAAAACTCATTTAGCTGACCCCACGTAATGGGATAAAGGCATGATGTTGTTGTTGTTGTTTATTTTACAACAATCACAATAATTTAGCCACTGGGATTATAGCACCCGCATGTCAATCATATGGACAACTATTCCTGGTGAGTCTGCATGTCAAGAAAGGAAAAAGAATCAAAAAATAAATGAACAGTTAACAAAACAAAAATAAATAAATAAATAAAAAGTGCAACAACCCCCTAGTACCATCATCAGATTTCCTGAATGGGCAGACGGACGCCAATACAACAGCCAATATTTTCCTTATTTTTCCTAAATTTTCTTGGTGATTTCATTATTGATCATTGCTGAAATGAACCCAATCCTACAAGTAAAATGAAATTGGCATATGAAAAGAGAGTAAGCATCTGCATGGAAACATGATTAATCTTCACTAGCTTCTTCCTGATCCTTCATATAAAAGCTATCATTAGCGTGGTCCAAATTCTTACTGTTTGGAACCATCCTTATGAGCCCACCTTCTTCACTTAGTTCAGTTGAGTGCTAAACTTCAAATCGTTGTGTTCCATGTATTTATCTTTAGTTAACGCTTTTTGTTCTTATTTCTTTAACATTAATTTCATCTAACAACCTTATTAATGCACTTCAGCCCATCCTTATAAATGGCTAAGCTAATTTTCCAATACCCTATTATCACTAGGCAAACTTCCATAGTCTAATAGTCAATTCTTGCTCAACTATTTCTAATTTTATCATACATTGATATTACTATTCCAATTTCTAATACTCATAACTCAGCGGAAAATATAATTTTTTACCTACAACTAGGGCTGGAAATGAATCGAGCCGAGCCGAGCTTTAGCCTGTTCGAGTTCAATCTTGTTTGTCAAAACCGTGTTCAAGCTTGGCACGAAACTCGTCGAGTTTTTTGGACAAGTGTTCGAGTTCGGGCTCATTTAAAATGACCACGTTCGAGCTCGGCTCGTGTTCAAATTTGAGCTCGTTTAATTTCATGCTTGACGTGCCTCTTATCAAGCGGCTCGTTTATAATGAGAAGACCACAATATACAAAATATTTTTTTATTATCAAAATTAATCCGAGTGGCACACCATTTGAAATCCACCCAACCCGCCAGCTTCCCGCAATTCTGCAATTTGCCTAGAGATGTCTCTGTTTTTATATAGCAAAAGTATGACATTCCTGCCGGCATGGGACTAAATGCTCACAACATATTTTTTTTTTAGTTTGTTGATACCACGGAGGAGAGAGAAAGGGAATTGAGACTTCAGGCAGGAATCCGAGTGGCACACTATCTGGAATTTAAAAACTTTTTTTTTTCTGAGCGGGAATTGAGACTTGAGGCAGGAGTTTATAAAATTTTTATATTTAATAAAAATTTTAGTAGATGATTTAATAAAAATATTTCTAATTAGATAGATTAATAAAAATATAAGTTAAAAATATGTCTAATGAAAACGGTTAAAGTTTAAAAAATTAAATTAGTAAATATAAATTATTAAATGAGTATATTTAATAGTATTTATTTTTAAATTTCTAATTTAGCTCTAATCAAGCTTCTTAGTCGAGCTCTAATCGAGCTTGTTCACGAGCTTCTAAGCGAGACTGTTCATGAACATAAATGAAGCTCAACTTTGAGCTCATTTAATTTCATGTTTGGCGAGCCTCTTATCGAGCAGCTCATTTATAACGAGACGACCACAAGAGTGTTCAAACTCATTTGTTTACCTTATCAAACGAACATGAATGAGCCCTTATCGAGCCGAGCCACAAGTAGCTTGTCGAGCGCTCAGTTCATTTGCAGCCCTACCTACAACTAGAATCTATAAAGCACAGTAGTATTATTGTCATTTCATATTTGCATCATCCTAATTTTAGTGAATGGAATTAATATATTAAATTCTAAATTAGGTTTAGTTTAGGATGGCTTTCTTACTGCTGCTAAAAGCAATTTTTTAGTATATATATATATATAACTAAAAACTTGTTTTAAGAAGCAGTAAAAAAAAACCGTCCCAAACAAAACTTTAATCTAAAATTGTAAAGCAACCACAAAGATTGTCCCCCTCTCACGAGCCCACAGGTGTAAACCAATGAAGAAACCTCTACTCCATAGGCTAACAAGGCATGACAGCTAATTGTAAAATACTTACTAGCATGTTGTGCCATGTTGCAGAGCGATCCTTGCTTTTGCGATCGTTTTATTTTAAAAGTCCAATTATAATTCTATAAGTTAAGAGCTTATTTGTGAAGGTATTCTTTTAAACGATAGATCAAGGAAACTAATATTATCACACCAAGGTACCACTTAATTTCTCACAATATTGACTAATTTGCCAGTTTAAAATCCACTAAAATAACATTTAATTTTCTATTCTTTGTTTCAACAAACCCACACACAACTTTCTTAAATTTCCTTAATAATTCTCATTTATTTCACAAGAAAGCATCAACCATATTCCAATTATTTAGGGTCAATTTTATAAATCACCATTCTTTATTCGATCATGCTGAATATTGCTTAGAGAATTTGAACCAATTATGTGTCAAAACTTTTTACACAAATTCTATCAATGTTATCTGTTGTTAACCCATTTTTCTTTTTAATTCTTCAACATTATTTTATCTACTTAAGATATTTAATTATTTCAATCTTTCATTGTACATGTCCAAATCTCCTAAATCTATTTTCCACCACTTAATCTTCAATAGATGCTATTCCCGCAATCCATTAAATATAATCATTTATAAATCTACTATTTATAATTTTCCATGCATTTATCATAATATTTATTATTTTTACTACAAAACAACTTGGCTATTGGTGATTTCATAACCACATAAAACTCAAATCAATACACCATAACAGGTTTAATTGCAATTTCATAAAGTGATTTTCACGTCACTATAATATTCTATATGAGAAAATATAATTGAGTCACTTTCATTTTAACCACCTAGTCTAAACTTTAAAACTTATATCCTCATCTATATTCACAAAATTCTCAAGATAACTAAATTTATCATAACTAGGCACCATTCTATGATTAATTAATCTTGATTGATAATTGATATGTAAAACCACTATCATTACTAAGATATTCTACTAATCATCTCTTTTTTCTCTTAAACCTTTACACATTATTCCAACTTTTATTTTATTTTAAAATGTCTCAAAAAATAGAATTTTCATTAACAAACAGCATAAAATTCATCTCCTTTCGAATATCATTTATAAGCATCTTCAGTACTGATAAAAACTATAAATGAATTTTATGTTAATCCTTGATATAATCCTATTATAATGGATAATACTAGTCAATAATTCATCACCTATATCCTTAATAGTTTTAACATAGCTTTAAAACATTTATTTTCCTTTATGCATACCAAATAATTACACCTTCCATTTATTTCTTACACTTGGAGATAAAACCACTAATAGAGAGCTAACAGAAGAAATTGTAGTGATGGTTTAAAAAGGTATAGCTGGTGAAAAGAAGACACATAAAAACAAACGTACCATCTTTTCTCATATCGGGTAGTAAACCTGATGCATGTTTCTCAACAACCTTCAAGTATCCATCAGCCTCGTGCTCAGAAACATTGAACAGAACAACAGATCCATATTGGAATACTATCATGTAGTGGCATTTACTCTCATTTAAAGAGCTAAACTCCACAGCCTGATGCACAGTAATTCAAAAGTAAGCTCAAGCTTCAATATTTAGAAGGTTAATGAAACTTTAACATCAATATCAGCCTAAAAAGATTTAAAAGCTCAAATTCACAATCTTGTTCAAAAGCAGCAAGTGGAATAACAATTTTTTTATCACATATCATAGTCAATATCTGATAAAAGGCCCTTAAAGCTAAAATAAAAGACTACAAAAATAGAGATTGAAGTCATCGCCGACCTTTCTACATACATAACATTGTTGAATAAGAAAACATTGAACCTGGAAGCAACAAAAAATGGCTCCATACCAAGTGAAGATCAAAGCAAAACACATGCTAATATAAGGAGAAGGCCCAAAAAGAAATCTTGCATTCAAAGTCGAGCTCAAGCAACTCCACTAACTCAAGGACTCATGTTGTCGAGTGTGGGTCTCTGAAAGGGAACTGCTCGAAGGGGTTAGAATGCAAAGGGTATGATCGCACTATCCTGTAGGACAAAACAGTTGCAGACCTTTACACTCTACGCAAGCTGGCTAATGAAAGAGCATATTGAATTATACATATGATTATCAATGGAAAATAACGGCTTTCGCATACATATCTCGATGGATAATGATATATTTGAATCAAAAGTCATGAGATTTCCTTCATTCGATACATCTGCTTGAATGAGGTTTATTTGATGTTGGCTTCGATTTTGCGCGGGTGCAAACCCCCATGTTTAATTACATCTTATGCCTCAACCTAAGAACACTCTTGATTATGAATGTTATTTTATTTTCTTCTTGATTTGGTGCATAGTGGGATTTCTAGGTTTTCTAATCCAAATGAGATAGGCTTAACATACTATTCAACACGCAAAGATCATGCAATCATCCAGTCGGTCTGAAGGGAAGAAACTAACATAGGAGAAATAGCACATAAGGCATGTAAAGAGAAAGATGAAAGATATGTCATCACTGGGATATAGATAAGTGAGATTTATAGCCTCCCAAGAATGTAGAGCTCATCTAATAATAAGGCATGCAACGACATACTCATAACGCCGACCTTTGATCCTAAATCTACAAGGGATGTACTGTACTCTCAATACTAATGCCCTTGACCTAGCTAATGCAAGACAACGAGAGGACTTATAACTCAAATCCCATAGGAAATCTAAACAGCTCCAACCTGGATTTACCACCTTGCTCGAAAAGGGGCCCCAGCTAAAACTCCACCTAGCATTTCAAACTTATATAGTTCAATATTATGCAAATACAAGAGTAATGGGGAGGTACATAAGGGGAATGCTATGTTAATGGAATGGCGAACTATCATTCTATATGATAAAATAAAATCTGCATGCTTGACTCAGGCTATGCAAGAAGGGAGGGTTAATCAGAACTAGCCGGTAGCCACCATAAAGTGGGCTTGATTTTTAATACAAGTTGTACTTTGAAAAAGTGACATAAGAGGGATTATGCATTAAATTTTGAAAGCATGTTGGTTGATTTTAAGCCTTATGTTTCTTTTATCTTAATTAGGCAAATTTATCTGTTATAAAAAAAAAATCTTATTAGCCTAACATGAAAACTCTGTCTGAGCCACCCCCAAGCAAAACAATCAAAGAAACCTAATAAAAACAGACAATTCTAGCATGCAAAAAAAGTAAAAACACTATCCATCCAATAATAAATAATAAATAATAAATGAGTGGCCAGAAGTGCATATGGGTTTTGCAATACACCCCAAAAAAAGAAAAATAGGTAGTTGGGCTTTACCATAATTACAACTTAGCCTAAAACTATACATTATTGAAATGGTATGTGTGGAGTTGATCGATCTTCACATATTTGATCTTCTGCCTTTTAAAATACCCACATACTTACATATCTTTCCTAACTAAATTACATATGAAAAAAAAAAAAAATACATAAGCTCTCTATAAAATAGAGATTAACATAGTTATAATAAAGCAGTTATATTTACTTCCAGACCTAAACCTTAGGACCACATTCCCAAGGGCTTAGCAATCCTTGTGGCATATGTTAGAGAGCGCATTTGTAATGATAATTATAGAATTTTGATCAGCCCCTTGGAAGATAGCCACTTGCAGAAGATATTTCTAAAAAAATTCTAATCACATAAGGGAAAATACCCACTAGTCAATCCACAAAACAAGAAACAAAACAATAAAAAACAATTCAAAACATAACACCAAATCATAGCATCACAAATGTAAAGTAAAATAATAACGAAATTGAAAAATATTATCCTAGCTACACCCTATCTTAGCATGCCTACAAAAATGTGTCATATCCAGCACCTAAGTGTGCAAAGTTTGTGTTAGCTAACTGCCCTAATTTAGATGAAAGGCTTAAGTTGCATGGTCAAGCTCATATTGTTTAATTTATTAACCCAGAGATTTTTCTTTAAGTGATTAGTCATTTAAGGTGAATTAATTATAATTTTATTTTTAAAGTTATGAATTTGATTATTAAGTTATGAAAAGCCCAACATACATGAGCCATAACCTGTGTTAGAGTTATAAAGAATTGGCAAGTGACCCATCCTCTACCTTAAACCTAACTAAGGCTAGAATGATTATGAGGCTATAAGGGTGGCTAATCCCTCCTTAGTTTTCTAAAATCTGAGGAAAGACTAATATGTGACACATTAAAGTGGACATATTGCCCACCACAAAAATCCTAAGTTTCCTATATTTAGGGTTAATCAATTTTAAAAGAGTGATATAGGAATGGAGCATAAAGATATAAAAGAGTTCTACCAGATCTAAGATTTGACACTTATGTGGTTAAAGAGTTTGATTGGGCTCCTGAGGGAGTGATTTATGCAAATCTTTGGACCTTTCTTCTCTTACTTGTGAAATACATTGCGTCGTAACTCATAACAAAGGGCATGAGGATCAAAGCCTCCTTAGGACACATAGCCCCGCAACTCGAGGATTACAACAAATATACCTCACATCAAAGAAGATGATACAAAATAAACACAAATCAAACATGGGTTAAGACATTAAGGCTTGATTTGAAGTACATTTACTTCTCCAACATCACATCTTATATTTGAAAGATACTTATAAAATAAAGCATTCTTTTTGTAAGATTTATAATTTAACACCTATTCCATCAATTCATTCATGAAATTGTCATAACGGGCATAAGGACCAAAGCATCATTAGGACACGTAGTCCCGCAGCTAATGGTTTACAGCCTATAAACTTTATTCACAGAATAGGTAATATAAAACATTTCAAAAAGTTTTTTAATCATGAAAATTTTGTAGTAAATGAAGTTCATATATGGGATCCTAGACTAGGTTCAAGCAATAGAGCCTAATCTATCACCTATTAGAGAGACACACTACATAAAGCTAACATATAGATTAACCTAATATGTTAGAACTTGGATTTTATTTTACTTATCACATTCTTGAAATGTTCATGGGAACAAGATTTAAAAGCTCAAAATCATTAAGAAGGTGATTTTATAGTTGCTTTAAGTGCTTTATTAACAAAACAAAAAAATACCCTAGCGAGATCGGCTTCGTGCGGAAAAATATCGATGCACATGATACAAATGGGTGGCCTACACTACAAGCATAGTTAACCATATAAAGGTCACTAAGATTCACAAAAGGGGCAAGCCTTGTCCAATAAGGTCAAGGCTTTGTTAGTGATCTAACATATGGCCAATGTCTAACACCTCCTACCATATATATTTGGGTGAAAATAAAAACAATCCAAAGTATGTGTGCGAGTGTCACCAAGTCATTCACAATAAAAGAGAGGTCTTAATAAAGTTGCATAAATTATGCTTGTCCTGACACAACGAAAGAGCATCTCCTGAGGCTTTGGGAACTATGACTCGCCGATCGACACACAAAACGATGTCCCTAACAAATAATATAAAGAGAACACACATGTAAGTAAATGATATATAAATGTTTCATGAATATGTGAAACATTGCATATAACAAGATGACCTAGGCCTACATGAACAAAGAGACAATTTTCCAAAATTTTAGGCCAAATAGTAACCCATAACTTTGAAAAATCAAATACATAATCTAGGGGCCTAACCAAGCCTAGAGAAAATTAACGGATTAAGGGAACATCCCCTAATTTGCTTTGCCAATATTTAAGCCCAAGACAATGGTCGGTTAGGGAGTAATTTGTAAAATACCCCGAGTTCCCAAATTACTCTCTAGGTATTTGTCAAAACACTTTAGATTTTATTTTTAAAATGTGGGGCTTGTTATTCCAGTTTCATAGAGCCCAAGATCATTAAATTGGCCAAGAAATGAATTTTTGAAGTTATGTGCATTTTTAAAATTTAAAATAATTTTATTTAATTTTGGTAGTGACCCATGGCGGCGGTGGACACGTGGCACACTTGGGGGACGAGGGGCAACACATGGCGGCGGCGGGAAGCGAACGTCCCGGCGTAGGGACGGCGGCCAGCTCCGGGACGGAAACTACCACATGTCGACGTGTGGGTTGTTCACTTATCCACGTCAGCATTACACGGGATTTGTGGGCAGGATCCCATGCAATGGGCTGAAAATATCGGCTGCTCGGCGAAATCTAAACTTTTAATCAAAGATGAACAATCCATATTTCGTCTTCTTCATTCAGAAAAGCTTTATTAAGGAAATTTCTTTTACTTGTTGCGGGTTATCCACTGCACCAAACTTAATGAAATTTTCAGGGAATGTTTATGACCTTATGAACTACTTACACCTTGATTTTGGGGGCTTTATATGGTGTATTTTGAGAGTTATTCACAATCAAAATTTTAACTAAAAGTTGTGATATACCTCTATTTAGTGGGTGAAATACCTCATTCTTCGGCTTGTTCTCTTCGTAAGAACGAAATGAACAATTTCTTTGAAAGTCTCTCCTCCTGAAAATGCCTGAATCGAAAGTTTTGACAACTGGAAGAAAAACGGCTTACGTATCGCCATGGATCTCTCCTCTAACACACTTTTGACATTAGGAAAGAGTGGGGTAGCGAGGAAGGAAGCTCCAACAACCAAAAGGAAGGAATGGGATCTCTGGAGGTGGCTTGGTTGGAGAGTTTTGAGTGTTATGTGTGTTATGAGGGTTTTGAAAGGTTTTGCCCTATTATAAGTCATAAGGTTTGCATGGAGGGTTGGGATGGCTTGGAGCTCTCTCTTGGAAGCTTGCCAAGTGTCTCATGAGGTTAGGTGGGCAGCCTTTGGGCAGGTAAGGACAAGCCAAGGTGCAAAGCCCATTTTGTTATTTCATAAAGGGGGGACCATTTGGGTTTGATTTGGGTTGAACCAAGGTCTGAGTTGGGTTCAAAATCCTCCTAGAAGTATTCTAGAGTGATTTGGAGGTGTTCAAATCAACTGGTCTAAGGTTAAAGATTAATCCAAGCATTTTGACAATTTTGCCCTTTTAGGTTTTTTTGGACTTTTTTAATTAATTTGATCTCTTTGATTGGTCAAACTTGGTCAAGATGACTAGCATAGACCATGGGGGGTCCCTAGAAGCCATGTGACATGCATGAGATTTGACTAAATTTTACTTTTTTGAATATATTTAAGTTTTTAAATAAGTTTGACCACTATAATCGGTCAACTTGGTCAAGATGAATTGCCCATGCTTTGGACTCATCAAACTAAGGGACATGAGTTTGGAATTTGAACCATACGCATGAGACAAAAAAAGAGTTCAACATCGAATACTATGTAACCAATACACTAACAACTACTCCACAACCAATACAACTATCGAGTACACATCCAACATAAGAATCCAAGTGCTACCAATTGGATGCAGTTGGCCTACTACTTCTAGACATATACCACAAAACAGACAATTAAGAATTGAGAGTGATGAAAACATATTAGTGACACACCATCTTATCATCACCTACATTATCCAGACCAGACAAAATTAAACAGGTTTGAATCTACCTTATTAGGATTATTTCTATAATAAACATATAATCTAGTATTGTTTTATTTAGAGTAAAGACTTTTCTTTTATGAAAAATCCATCAAAATTCCTTTTGATAGATATTTTAATTGTTTTCCTTAGATGTAAAAATCCTCCTTGCAAATTAGGGGATGCTTGTATGAACTATGAATGAAATCATCTCATCAAAATTGAATCAACTGGAAATTTGACTCTCTCTCTCTCTCTCTCTCATATTTTTTGGGACTTCAAGTTACACCAACAACAGCTGGATTTCATTTAAATCAAGGATGATATGCTTCAGAATTGCTTGCTAAAGCTGGTATGACAAATTGTAAACCAATCTTAACACCACTGTCATCCAAACTACCTACACTCACTGATAATTCAGAACTTTATTCTCAACCAAAATTTTACAGAAAACTTGTAGGCTCCTTACAAAATTTAACAATTACATGACCGGATATTCTATTTGTTGTCAATATTTTAATGTCAACATATGCAAAGGCCATTTCTTATACATTTTCAACTACTGAAAAGAGTTTTTAGATATCTTTGTGGCACAATGTATTTTGGGCTTCCTGTCTCTCGAACCAATCTACACTTACATGATGCTGACTCTGACTAGGCTGCTAATATGACAGATCACCACTCCATTACTGGCTATTGTACATATCTCGACACAAGACTTATCATGTGGTGTGTTAAAAAGCAAATCATAGTTGCTCAATCCACCACAGAGACATAATATCGTGCTTTAGCTACAACTACCACTGACATCATTTGGTTAAGGCAGTTACTTAGTGAATTTCAAATTCCCTTGTCTCATCTAACAAAACTCTTTCGTGATAATATTTCAATACTAGTCTAGGCCAAAAATCCGGTCTTTCATACTTGCACTAAACATATTGAAATAGACTTTCATTTTATTAGAGATTGCATCAGATTTCATCACATGAAGTCCATCCTATTGCATCTCAAGACCAACCAGCTGATATTTTTACCAAATCACTATCATTGACTTGGTTTTCTCAACTATGGCACAAGTTAACAATTCAACGAAACATTGTCAACTTGTGGGGAGGTGATAAGAGATAAGTGCCTAGATGATAAGCTATCTTCAATACTGATACAACCGCTCTCAGATCCACTACTACCATGCTGCATTACACGTCTTATTTCAGAACTTTTTCATCACCACCGTTTATTAAAAGCCTGCAGCAATCTTCACCTTTCATGCATAACTAACTCGATTTTATTCTCAGTCCTTTAAGTTTATATATGGGAGTGCTGCAGCTTACTTTCATGGTGAAAAATACAATGAAGCCTTGATGCTCTACTGACAGTTTTACTGTGTTTATTGGTTCTTTTATTTTCCTGTAGATCCTGTATCTGTATTTCCGTTTGCTGTTTTATCTTGAGTTATCAAAACTGCAGCTACATATTTAACTTAACAGTAGGCAACTTCGATTTTAATATAAAATTCAAATAGCTCTCTTTCTGTTTTCCTACCTGTTCTCTGTCTCCCTGGCGCAAAACACCCCCAACTCTCGCTCCCCGCGCACCACCCCACAAAAATCGATAGCATGTTCTAACACAAAATAAATCAAGTCTATTGATCGCTCCAAACAAGCTTTGAATGAGAACAGAACCAAACACAGTGCATTTGAAATATGGTATTGTTATTTGAATAAAACGGTTATCTAAACAACATTGAACCAAACAACAAGCAAAAAACAACACACATTAGGGTAAGTTGAAGCCCAAAGACCAGCAACCTAAGCATTCCATAAAAAATTTCCACTCCTCAACGATGAGGGCATCCGAAACCGTATTGCGGAATCCTAGAAAGCAGCGATTTTAAGCAGATAGTATTCAACATCAAATGTATGGGAGGCCTTACCTGATCTCCCTTGAAATCATAGTACCGAAGAACCACATAATTGGTGGCGCGAGAGCTCGGAGGAATCACATTAAAAGCATTCTGCGCCTGCAAGCTCCTCAAATCGATGCTGCTATCCGCAATGCCACACACACAATCAATATTTAAGTTGGTCAACTAACAGCAGATACAGGAAACAGTGAAAATCAAAGAACCTAGTACAGAGGAAGTAAGCCTTGACGGGGATGAACCGGCCCTGCTTCGCCTGCTGAACCTCAACAAGGTGATCGTCATACGTTTCGTCCTCTGAGACAGGTTGGTTTTGATGTTGGTGTTGGAGGTGGTGGTCCTTCCAGTCCAATTCCTGGCCAGGGGAAAGAGACGAGAAGTTATTTGCTGAATCGATGGCGTAGGGGCGGAAGTCGAGGAGGCGGAGAATGATAGGGCGGTGGAGAGATGGAGGCCGGAGTAGAGACGCCTGATTTAAGGGATGTTGCAGGCTGTCGAAGGTGGTCAAAAGAGGCGATAAGGTCCGAAAGGAGCGGGCTTTGGTGAGGGAAGGAAAGGAGAAGCGAGAAGAGCGGGACGAGGAAATAATGGCCTTGAGATGCCTTTCCAACGAGCGTGGCCACCACGTTTCCATGGGGATAGCACAAGGGAGAAGAAATTGATTTCACATCGTTAGAGAAAGAGCGACGGGACGACGGAAGCACAAGAGAAGGGAAGTGGAGAAGTGCGAGAAAGAGCAAGCGAGTCTCAGAAAAACAAAAGGGGATATTTTTAACGTAAGCATGATTAGAAACTTAATTATGTTAATATGCACTGATAAAAAAAATTATAAGTATAGTCGCCGGTTCGAGAAGCAATTAGTAGCTAAATTTGTATAAATTATTCTGTACGAATACCGGACGTCGTCCCGAGGTCAACCAGAAGGCGCCACGTAATTTTTTTCTACTCGGTATCGGTGATGGGTACGGTTCGGTACTGGGTAATGTAGCGCATTCTGGTTGGCCTCCAGACCATCTGGTGTCCGCACATAATAATTTCTCCTAAATTTGACCGAGTAAAAAATGAAAATCGTGCATGTAACATGAATGGTCAAGCCGCTCGTTGAACTGGCGACTTACTTTGGTTTTACTTTTTTTTTTTTTAAGTTGGCCGGCTAAGAATTTTATTTTCTTTAGCACAGTTCATCACTTCAACACTGTCGTTGTCAGGTACCAAGTCCTTGATGAGAAAAGTGGAGGGTTGCATTAGGTAGTCGACTACCAGCGTAAAACATATCGAATAATCATGACATGAATCATTTAAAAAATTGTGTTAATGTTATGGCGTCCCCTGGAAGTGACGCACTATATGGCCTAAATACAGTGACAAGTGTGTAAGGGCCGCTGCAACGGCACCTGGGTGCAGTGTTAAATAGGTAAGGGTTCCCACATCAATGATGGATGTGTGCAAAGAAGTAAGTCCATGAAACTAAAATTAGGATAGGAACTTGGAATATATGCTTCCTTACAGGAAAATTAATAGAATTAATATATATTATGATTTATAGGAAAATAAATATTTTGTACATTCAAGAAACTAAATGGGTTGGAGAGAAAGTTAAAGAGATTAATAGTTTAGGATATAAACTATGGTATTCATATATGAGTCGTATTAGAAATGATGTATGTGTGATTATAGATAATAGTTTGAAGGATAATGTTATAAAAATTAAAAGAATTATAGATAAAATTATAGCTTTAAAGATTAATGTTAATGCTAAGATTGTTAATAATATAAGTGCTTATGCTCCTCCAGTAGGTTTGGATATGAGTTCAAAATTAAAATTGCATGGCCTACTACATGAAACGAGAAGGAAAGAGATAGATGACTACAATGTTAGAGGCAAAGATGGAGGAGATGCCAAATTTGGCTCAAGAGTACGAGATACGATGGAGGCGAGGTCGAAGGTTGGATCTTGGTGTGGTTTAGGGGTGTAAACGAGTCGAGCCGAGTCGAGTATTTGGCTTATCAAGCCTAGCTTGTTTAACCCTCAATGAGCTCGAACTCGAGCTCGACTCGTTTAAAAAATACCAAGCTCGAGATCGACTCGAAAACTCGAGCTCGAATCGAAAGCTCGAGCTCGTTTGAAAAGCTTGAGCTCGAATCAAAATTTTAGTTTTTTTTTAAATTTGTTTATAACAGATAATTAAAATTTATTTTAAATTATGAAGAAATAAATATATAATGTAGACGAAATAAATATATAATGAAGAAATTTATTTCTAACAAAACTTTAACTTTTAATTTCTTAAAAAAATAATTGTAGAAGAAATAAATATATATTGAGCAATTATCAAATTTCATAACCTCCATTTTTTCACTTAATTTTTCCTTATAAATGTAATAATATATTAACATAATTTTCTCAAAGACCATATCTCCTTTATTTTTTAAATAAAAAATCTTTTAAAAAATGATTAATATCAAGTGCAATTTTTATGCAATTAAATACAATTAAAACTTGATAAATATGGAAAAAAGCATTAATATCAAAGTTACACCAAACTGCATATCATCACATCATTACAAATAAAATGATAAACTAAAAAACGGTAGAACTATTTTTCAGGTCCAAAAGAAGTTTCAAGATATAATAAAAATTAAAACTCAACAAAAGGTAGAACTATTTTTCCTTTTTCTATCTGATAATCCAAATGCTTCAAACTCTTCCATCTCTACTCTCTAGTACAAATTAGTATGCAGCAAACCTGAAAAATAAATAAAGATAAAAAACCAGCTTCATAGGCATGTTTTATATTAAAATAAATAAAGATAAAAATATTTGATGAATGTAAAAGTTAATCATCAATCAAACTTCAACTTACATAATTTTAACTTACCGTTCCAGAACAACTTGAACCATCTTTGGAAGAACGAAGATGCACCAACTCAGCACGGTTCTCTGCAACAGCTTCAGCAATACATTTAAGAGAGGAAAAGGTTTGATGCAATGAAAAAGGAATAACAAGGTAGCCTGTCATCCAGCTGCTAGTGCTATTGCTAAAGAAGATTGCAAATATATGTAAAAAATGCTCGTTGCAAAAGAACTAAAAATTGCAATCATTTTTGCTGTCATTGAAGCAAGTCTAAGAGAAACCATAACTCGGATATGCAACTGCAGAAAGGATGATTTATCTTCCACAGCACAGATAGTCTACATGAAGATGCATGAACATTATAAAAAGGAAAACATAATAGAAATGCTGAATATGAAGATACATCAGTAACTATGAAAAAATGTACAGGTCTAATGCAGAACAAAGAGCCATGAAGAATATATTTCTAACCTCAGTTTTTCTCATGTAATTGGTAGGACAATCTCCACCTCTTCATCCTCTTCCTCCTCCTACAAAAGCAAAGATAATTGAATATTCATATGTAAGTATTTGGGATATGAAATATATGTGTTCTATCTTGTATGTAACATCATAACCTTAACCCTTCCCTTTAAGCCATAGTGGCAGCGAACCCAGTTGGAACCATAAAGGAGAGCTTGCACAATGTCAACCCCTAATTTTGATCGGTATGTATCAACTACTCTTTCTCCAGCACTGAAAGTGGATTCTGAAGCAAATGTACTAACAGGGATGGATAAAATATCCACTGCCATTCTCGAAAGTATGCAGTATTTGGCTTGATTGTTTTTCCACCATGCTATCACATCAAACTTCTGTTCTTCACTACAAAGTTCTAAGCCATCTTCCAAGTAGTTGTCTAAATCTGATTTTATAGGCCTGGTGCTTGTTTTGGATGAGACAAATGAGGTGAAATCATGCCAACCACTATATTATTTAGAATTAGATTGATGGTCTACACTTTGCAATGAATTGGTTGTGCTCCTTGAACTCCCTCCTGCAATACCACCATCACCATCCAATTCGGCTTCAGAACTTCTAACATATTCCTCATACATTTCATAGAGAAGACATCTAACATGCTGCACATTTCTCATGCTTTCATCTCCATGATATATCTTAGGGTAGGCAAACTCAATTACAACAAACTTCATTCTTGGATCCATCACTGCGCCAAAAGCCATGAGGAGATTACATTCGCCCCAATATTTATCAAATTTAGCTTTCATCTTCTTAGTCATCTCCACTATAAAATTATCAGTAGAAATTGCCCCATCATCCAACACTTTCTTAATAGTACAGATTTGTGAAAGAAATAAATTTGCTGTAGGATAGTCCGTTCCTGAAATAATATCAGTTGCTTCGTTGAAGAATCCCAAAATATCACATACCTTTTCAATTTTATCCCACTCCTCCTCTGTTGGACATGCTACATATGCCACTTCTCTTTCGTTATATGAAAAAAATGCTTCCCTTAACCTTAATGCCACTGTCAACATTGAATAAGTTGAGTTCCAACGAGTTGGGCAATCCATTACTAGCTTTCTAGTATGTAACTGTAATTGTTGGACAACTTCAGAAAATCTGACTAACCTTGCTTCAGATGCATTAACAAAATTCACAGTGTCTCTAATTTTATCAATAATATACTCCACACTTTTTATGCCATCCTTAACCATAAGGTTTAGTATGTGAGCACAACAACGGACATAAAACAACCTTCCTCCAAAGAATAGTTTTTTCTTAACTCTAAAACTATCTTTTAAAAGTTTCATTTCCCTATCATTATTTGATGCATTATCAACTGAGATAGTAAAAACTTTATCCTCAACACCCCATTCACAAAGTTCCTTGTAGAATGTATCAACAATTTCGGTAGCTATATGTGGTGGTGGCAAATGCAAAAAACTCAATACTCATTTCTGTAACTTTCACTGCGAATCAATATAATGAGCTGTGACTGTCATATATGAAATTCTCTTATTTTTTTACTTCCATAAATCCGTGGTAAAACTTATTTTGTTAATGCCCTTTAAAGCATTCTTCAATTTTTTTTCTCTCTTTCATACACTTGTATGACATCATTGTGTGCTGTTACCCGTGAGTATTTCACAAAAAAGGGTGACATAGACTTTAAAATTAAGTTGAATCCAAATTCTTCAATAATAGAAAATGGCTTCTCATTAATTAGAATGTAATGTGCTATCATCTCCCTAACTTTTTGATGATCGTATTTAAATGTTGTCAACATTCCACCATCTTAACTGCTCAGAGAGAATGAGTTTTCTATATCTGATGGTTGGATGTGTAAGATTTTTTGCCTTTTTATGGCACGAATCGTAGCAGCACATCGGTCCAAATGTCTTTTAAATTGTGTAGTTGCACCAGTAACTCTAATAAGAGTTGTTTTTTATAATACACACATTCTCCTTTTTTTCCCAATAGGAAGAATAACTTCCTTGAACTCATCCCAAACTTTAGATCTTTTTTTTCTTTATTTCTTCCTATAACATCATCAACTTCTTCAATATCATCCACTTGATTTTCATTAGTCCACTTTTCAACCTCTTCGTCAATCTCATTATCAGTATCTGTGTATTATTCTCATTCAAAGGTTGACTACCAATATAAGAGTGAAGATGGTCATCATGTCTTTCAGTCTCAATATTTGCAGGCCCAATATTATCCCCTTCCATACTAATTGGTGTTACATTCTAAAAAAATCATAATAACATGAGAATTGAAAATATATTAAACATCTAAAAACTAATTCTAATTTTTTTAACTGCAAGTTAGATAATCAAAATATAACCTATACTTCAAAACCCACAAAACTAATGAACTCAAACTTTTGTTATAAATTATAACAAAAGAAGCCATTTAAAATACAGAAAGGACTCAACTATACAACAACACTATAACAGCAGTACAGCACATTGAACTAAATCTAGGCACATGCATGATTTGCAAAATTTTACATACAGACTATAACAACACATTGGATAAATAATAACAGCACATTAACAGCACATTGGATAAAGAATAACATCACATACAAACTATAATAACACATTGGATAACAGGCTAACAGCACACTACTACAACGAATGATACGAAACAACAGGACACTACAACTGCGAATGATAAGAAACAAAAGGCATAAACGACATGAAGGGAAAACAAGCATAAATGACAGTATTAGAAGAAGAAAAAAAATTCACCTACAATGATAAGAAACCCCCAAATCAAATAAAGAAGGAAAAAAAAAAACAACAAACCCCCAAATTATTCAGACATGAAGGGAAAACATGCATGAAGAGAAAACTCACCCAGACGAGATGCCGAATGTCCGACGTCGCAGTGAATGACGACGAGGAAAACCGTGAAGTGGCGTGAATCGACTAATCGAGCAGGAACCCTAAGCCTAGATGCCGAAAACCTAAGCCGTCCAACGAACTTCATGGAATAAGAATGCCCAAACTCCCGTGACCCCATCCAACGCTCGCAGGCTTGCAGCCGAAAATCGAAGCTATCCAACGAACTTCGTGGAAGAAGAAAGCCTGAAATCCAGAGTCCCGTCCAATGCTCGCAGGGTTGCAGCCAAGAAACGAAGCAGATCTGGACTCTGGAGAGAAAAGGAAAATGAATGCAAAAAGATTTAGGGTTTAGGGTAACATATGCGGCGGGTTTAAGCCTTTGGTAACATAGTCGCTCGCCCGCTGTTTGATTTTTTAATCAAAACATCAAATATTTAAATAATAATATTTATTATTATAAATATGATATCTAATTATCTATATTATATAAATTAATCGAGTAGCTTATCAAGCTTTCGAGTCGAGTCGGATTGAGTTCGAACTCGTGCTCGTTAAGTAAACGAGCTCGATTATAAGCTCGAGCTCGAGCTCGAAGCTCAATAAGCTCGTCTCACGAGCTCGTTAATGAATCGAGTTCAAGCCGGCTCACAAGTCGGCTCGGCTCACTTACACCCCTACTGTGGTTGTCATGGATGTGGGTTGGGTGAATATGGGTGGAGGCGCTGAGGTGGCAGGCTTTATAGTAATTGTAAAAATGGCCTCATGTGTTGTGGTGCTGGAAATGGTGGCGTCGTAGTGTTATTAGATGAAATAGAGCCTCATTAATATTAGGCTTGCCCCGCTTCAACACTGCGCCCGCTTCAACACTGCGCTAACTCGACAAATCTGTTGGCTGAATTAATGCATCATTTTGCTAAATCGGTGCTTCTTTATCTTTCATCAACTGCTCTGTCGTGATGTTGTAAAAGTTTTGTGTTGTGGTGATTGAATGTGCAATATGGCGTTGCGATATTATAATGATAGTCGCTCCAACGTTTAAATTCTTAAGACTCAGGTGGTTGTAGCATAAATTTCTAACACCGCGAAGTTATGAAGTGCTAATGTGTTGAATTATTTATTTCTTTTTTTTTTTTTTTAGACTGCCGCTGCAATTCCTTGGCCTGTCACCGAGGCATTATAGACGCTGTGGTGCTGGTTCAACACTTGTAATTTTTTTTTCTAAGATTTTTTGCATAAACATAACTAATATACTATATTTTAGTGAATTTATATATAATAAATAATTTACACTTAACAACTTCATAGATATTAAGCATATCACAATGTACTTTATACTAAAGCTTTTCTTACACTTATTTTTATCTAAAATATCTAAAGCATGTAATACATAAATAAATTATTTGCATGGCCTACTACACGCTTATAACTTCACTTTCACTTATGTCTCCTTTTAAGCCTTCCATGCCCGCATATAGCAAGTGGGGTCAGAATAGAACATAAAAGAAGCCTCTCGCATCTACACAAGGAAAATGGAGTTAGAAATAGAGCAACCACCTCTCGCATCCATACTAGCCAGATATGGTCAGAACTCAGAAATAGTACATATAAGGCTCTTGTATCATTTCAGATAGTGCACTTATAATATTTTAAAAACCAGAGCTCCTCCAATGCCATTTCATGAATTATACAACTTGACTGCAACAATATATAATTATAATTTCAAACATCATTGTGATGATGTTTGGACTAATAGAACTATCAAAGTAGGGTAACATTACATGTATAAAGCTTGACACACTTAATATTTTTTTCAATTATAATTTTAGAAGAACATCCATAATAGCATTTTAAGACTTTTAGGGAACTATCAAAAATACTAAAAAAATCATATTTTATTCAATATGCCCAAAAAAATCAAAAAGAAAATAAACCAATGAAACTTTAACTTATTATAGCCAAAGTTTCTAAAGTAAAATATGCTATATTATACAAAAAGTTACATTATGAAAGCATCATAGAGCCCAAGGAAAATATGTTTTATTTGTAATTTGTTATAAACTTATTGGAATTGAAACTAGATATGGTTACTTGGAAGTCTACCTTGTGTTCAGCGAAATCCTTAACTGGCCCAACAAATGAATCCCAAGCTATCGCCTTCTCTCCTCTCATATTTGACCACTAATGGAAATACGAGGCAAGGAGCATCAATTTTAGAAAATAGTTTTAAATATTTATATACAAAAAATATCATTTTTATATGGTGTCATGACACTCACTTTCATAGCACTGCAAAGATCCATCGAATATTCTAGATGCTCCTAGATTCTCTTACTTGAAAGCTCATAGCAGTGGTGGTTCCATCTAGCATTCATGTGCTCCCTCAAATCTTCTACCCAAATAGAGAGGAAAATGCCACAATGTCACCATTCCCGGCATCGTGACACCATAAAGAGCATTTTGCCTCCTTTTGATTTTCTCTAATTCTTATATTACTTAATGTTAATTAAGCATTTTAGGACTCAAAATCAATAATTAAATCAAAATATGCAAGGGTTCATACCAAATTAGTTCGATCAATCGGATTTTGAAACAACGAATACCACATGTAGTCAGGCAACAAAGGTCAAAGGACAGTGTTTTGATGACAATGGTTAGAGGATTAGAAAATGCCGGACGACGGAAGTCGACGATGTTATATCTACTATAAGTGTGTTGCACCCATTATGATCCAGCCCAATAAGCCATGTGTATTAGAACTTCTACATTTTTATTCTGCATAAGTCTGGGATTGTTCTACATGTATTGAATGTTTAAATTATGTTCTGAAGCATGTCCTGAAGGTTTGTATGCATGAAAAATCATTTATGAATTTTTTTCCTAGGGAGCACTACAATGTTGGCGTTGATGGTGTTGTGGATTTGAAATCTTTATCTTTAAGGGAATTTAGGGTGCGTTATGATGGCATGCTCTTTATTGATAGCGTTATGGCACTGTATCTTCGAGCACTGCTGTTGACCTCATTTTTGTATGAGGTCACTTGGGCCACTCTTGACTCTAAATCATCAATCCAAACTCTAGGATCCTCCTAGAATCTTAACCTTAGGATCTACCCAGATCTTAGAATCCAACTCAAATCCAGAATTTGAAACCAAAATCCACTTCAATATATTTTTTTGCTAACGGCCCAATTCGGAAAGTTATTTGAGATTGAGGCATGGTATATCGATTTTAATAATATGAAATTTTTGAGAGTTTTATTATTAAAATTATAAACTAATAGTGTAAAAATGGGTAAAAATTTTCATCTGTTAAACTTTCATATTGTTATTTTTTTATGTCATAGATATGAGTATTTTAATATTTTGGTATTTTCTTAAGAATATTAACGAGGTAAATTAAAAAGTGCATTATTTATAGTAAATTGAAAAATAATTATGACTAAAGAAAATAATACTACAGTATATTCAAAGCTTCAAAATAGTGCTATGAACAACCCCTAATAATATGATGATATTATGAAATTATAAAATTATGCTCAATTGTTGAATACGTTGGCTACTAATATAGCTTATCTACTTAAAATGTATGATTATGAGGAGTTTTGAGGTCAGAGAAAACTTTATTGTGTTGAATGCATAAGAAAGGATCTGAATTTTTGTATATCTATTGTGCTGAGAATTTGAGAGTCATAGGGGTCTGTTTTTTGATATGCTAGCATATGGAGTCATAAGAGCCTAAATTCTTATGTATATTACTATAGGGTCTGATTTTTATAGGGATGTATAAGGGCCAGAGATAAATTTATTACTTTCTACTATGATATTTGAAGTACTTGTTTATTTATATTTTATACAAAGTTTATTAAATTTCAATTCTCTATTACCACTACTCTATTTAGTATAATAGTTAGTTAATAACTATGTTTGATTTGGTTAAATGCATATTGGGTTAATTATTAAGAATTTTGATCAGTGGGTGTAACCTAATGAGTTATGTTGGCTTTCACCTATTTTGTACTCTATTTCAAGTCGGGGTAGGGGTAAGGAGTCAGTTGAGTAACAGATGTTACAGGTTCTAATTTCTAAGTTTGTATAGGCATTTTATAGTTTTCTAATTTTGTAGAGTCATTGTTATTCTCTTCTCTATTTTATATTTAGCTGTAGTCTTGTATTGTATTGTAAAGATTTTGTTGTATATACTTTTTGATGATGAATGAAAAGAAAAATTTGTGAATGAGTATTTTCTATTTTTTATAAATTAATTAGTAGCTCTGTTGTTTGTTGATATTTATAAAAAATTAAAAAAAAGGTTCTTCAAATTAAATATTGGGCTTAGTTTGTTACCATCCAATATGATATGACCCATTTTGTCTGTGGGTTATATTGAGTTGGGTTGTGATAGGTGGACCATATTTGGTCAGCGAAGGACTGCAAGTCGTAGTTAAGAAACGAAGATTGGTGGGCTATACACAAGAAATGGAGGTCAATGGACCAAAGTCGGGTGACAATGATTGGATGATCGTAGCTGGATTCTGATGGTGGATGTTGGTCGATGTTCCAATGATAGTTAGATGATGGCCTAACAATGGCGGTCAGGAATTGACTAATGGTGATGGTCATAAAATAGTGTCTCGGACAATGATGCTCTAGGATCCTTAGAGCCCTAGAGCTTTCATGGATATAAAGCCAAAGTCTAAGCTCCCCATCAGATTTTTGAGAGTCACATACCTCATAAATATATCTAAAATTCAAAATGCACCAACAAATGAAATGTTTTGATTCCCTATATCATAGATTGATCTTGGGCTCATTTGATTCATCTCATCAAGATGCTCAGTTCAACTACAAGCATACAAGATTTGAAGGTTGTTCGGTCATCCAAGTAATGTTGTAAAGTTTTCAATTATGCTTCAAATGCTCGATATGGGACCTTTAAACTTGGTTTGTATCACTTTAGTCTCCTTAGGCTCATCTCATCAAAACATCCAATTTGGCTATTAATTTGCTCATAACAAAGTTTGATTAATCTTAACTTTAATTTTACAAGTTCTCAATTCAAATGTGCGTTAACATTCATACCCGATCTAGACAATTTCTTATAACGCAACAACATTCATTTGTTTTAATTTAATTTAATTTAATTTTAATTTTAAATGAAATATAATTTATACCTTATGCGGATATTTTTATTTTTATTAATATTGTATAATTTAATTTATGTGAAACAATGGTGATTAACTAAATTATTTTGACTTTTTTAAAAAATAATTTAATTTATTTCTAAAAATAAAAAATAGAAATATGTAACAAAAACCTTAAATAACAATATTTTAAAAATATTTTAAAAAAATCCCAAACATGCCTTAAACTTCTATTTATTTCCATTGCACGCATTCCTACCAAAATAATTCCAATGAAAACATCTAAAAAACAATGACTAAAAACTATCTCAATAAAGCATTAGATCAATACTTTCAAAATTATATCATTTCAAAAAACTAATCAGATTTTGACAATTTTTATTATATTTAAATAAGAATTTAACTCTTAAGAAGACATAATGAAAAAAAACTCAAAAAATATTCATATATCCAACCCCATGTAATGGGATATTGCTACTGTTGCAAAAAACTAATCAAACATTAACTTAGAATAACCATATTACATCAAAATTAAAACGTAAATACCCACTCAATTTTCAATAAATAACAGTAATTTCAGTAACCCTGCTTGAATACCAACCAGGATTCAAGCAGAAATAAATTACACACAATACTCGATACTCGATACATTCCTATAATCTTTGATTTTAATTCTAATTACAATGATACAAATGAAAGAGTCAATAGCCAATCTCTACAGGACAAAACAGAACCACAAACTCAACTTAGTACAATTTCACTTATAACATTCCCATGTAGGTAAAATCCATACCAGCTAGCCAGGAAAACTCCTTCAGTTGCTTCTGTACTGAAAAGAATCACATCAACAACAATCAGGGAACTTGTGCTTTAGGCGCAACGCAGAATGGAGCGGCCAAGAAATCTGTTTCACAGCAGCTGATAAGTTTCAGACAAAGAGAGCTCCTGGCATGGTCATAACTACGGGAATCATTAGGTTCGGATACCGGACAGAGAGAATCATCCGGATTTCTCGTTGTCTATAATAAAAGCGCAGTTGCTGCAATAACTGTGCTTTGACTGCTCTTTTACTGTAGAGAGAAAAATTCGAATGATTCTCTATGTCTGCTGTCTGAAACTAATAATTTCTCCATAACTACATCCCATATGGTCTAGTATATAGATGATTAGAACTAGACAGCCCGAATTTATGCTCTTCTTTCATGGGAATGAAGCTATCATGTCCAAATCTCTCATTTTTAACAAATTCAGCGATGCCCATTCCACTGTGATTCAACACATTCTGCCAATCACTCCATTGGCTATTTAAGATGTTTGGAGTTCTTAGTTGTTGGTGTGCGAATGGTGAATAGCTTGTGTTGTTGATCTGCATTGGAAATCTAGAAGAGGTATATGCGTCACGCATAGTTGACAATCCATCTGCTAAATTATTATTAAAAACTCTTCGGTCACGATGAGCTAATGACTGTATCCTATTGCCTTCTGTAGCGCAAAACTTTGGAGGAAGAATAGAATTAAAACCTAATTCAGTATTATTAACTTCAAGTGGCAGTATGCCCTTTCCAACTGCTAGTATTGCAGGATCGATAAACTCAACATCATCGGCATTCCTCGCAGAACGCAGTTCAAACTGAGGCTTTCCATGAAACAGATTGCCTAAAAAGAAAACAGAAATGAATTGGTACATGCATATCAAAAGCTATAGGGGTAAACAATACTAAGGTTTCGTTTGTGACGGTTTTCTTACTGCTTCTAAAAGCTATTTTTTAGTACAAAAAATTAAAATTTTTGTACTAAAAAGCTGCTTTAAGAAGCAGTAAGAATGTCATCCCAAAGCAAAGCCTAAATGAACCAAACCTGAAGCAACGGAGCTAAAACCGTTTTCATATCTTTCTTGAGAGGAAAACCCTGGAGGTGGTGCTCTGTTTGGTACTGAAAACCCAGGTGGTGCTGGTATGTTAGGTCTCAGCGTGCCTATGATGAATAGAAAATAGAAGAATGAGATATGTTGATGAGGAATTAGTACAATCAGCCAACAAGTAAAATGACAAGTAAATCATGTACAAAATGATTTTAGCTTGAGATGGATGGAAAATAAGGAGAGGGTGAGATAAACAATCAGCCAGAAGATTCATCATATTATCAATTAATAATTTGACAATGTTTATTCGATTCTATAAGTTGGTTTATTTTATTTTATTTTTTTTTTAGTAGTTTTGGTGCAGACATACTTACAAAAATGATCTTTATATGGGTTGTATTTTCTAATATTTGTGATTATTTCCTTTGATCAGGTCGGCTCAAGTTTGTGATTTTTGATATCTAGATTGATCTTCATGGGGCTGTCATTGCTTTCCTGTCATGCTATATATAGCTTCAATCGGAAAAAGCAGCTTAGTTATCTGATTGGTGAATGGGAAAAAATGGATTTATTGCTATCCATGCTATGGACCAGGCAAACAAAGGTTGGTATCAAATAGAAGCTGTTTATGTCGGTAACATATAATCACAAGTAACATGTTTATATATATATATATATATATATATATAGATATCATGTAATAATTTTTTAAACAAATATTAGGGAGTTAATAAATAACCAACACGACAATCCAACTCGAATCTGACCAAAAAATTCAATTTCATGTTGATCCAATTAGTTTCAAGTTGGATCTAGAATTTTGACATTTAATATTTCAAGTTGAGTTCAGGTTGATCCAAACACTCAAAATAGACTTTAAACTAACATGGCGCTGGCCCTAAAAGTTAAAATAGCAAATTGCTAAAGCATTCTAAACTATTGTGAGAAATGTAATGGTTGATTGTGATATTTTGCTTTGCATATTCTGACATTCCCTATTCTTAAATCATTGCAAATCACTTGCCTCTCCCATTGTGCATAGCACTAAGCAAGTGAGAGTTGGGAGTGGAGCCTTGCACCGACCTCTGTCATTTTTGAAACCATTAGAATTTGAGTCTCTGCTTGCGCCTCTTCGGTCAGTTTGCCTCCTTTGCTCAAACACAGCTAAGGGATGAAAGAAAACTCAGCAAAACGAGGCTCTAAAAGGTAACTCAACTCTTCGATTCCTCCTTCAGCCCTCACCACATCCCCAACAAATGGCAACCCTCCTCCCTCATCAATCCTTCGATACAGGGTAAACCCTAGCCAGCAGTCACTAAAAAAATAAGTTTCATTAGCATAATCTGGTCCTGAGAAAATGGGTATTCTCAGATCTTCCATTCAAAAGTTTTTAAAAACTAAACTCCTAAACCTTTTCAATTTATCCACAAATTCACTTGCGTGGCTGTTGTAGAGAAGTTTATTGATGCTGTAACTGTTGTTGTAAAGGAGCTGAAAGCAAAAATCTAGACAAATTTAGTTGAAGAATAAGTTAATACCACATGCCTACTATATATATATATATATATATTGGGGAGGAATGAAGGATCCGGAGAAGCTGATGTGTTAGCAGAGGATTAAACAAAGCATTTTATATGATTTTTTGGCTGCATTTATATTGCTTGGCTTTAGACGTGAGCCTTTGAAAATTATGTGTTATAACTCCAATGAAAATTAACGCAATTTATATTTTTAATTATTTTTATTTTCTTGTTTAATTGGAGTATTCTAATGCAATTATTAAAAATATTACTTAATAAAATAATAAGCAAGTGGTTAGTGATAATGTTAATCTCCTAGAGAATGATAAATTTAAGGATGCGCAAAAAAAAAGAAAAAAAAAAAAAAAAAAGGATGCGGACATTGAGGAAAATGATGACTGGAGAAAGGGATGGGGAAAGAGTTATTACGAAGAGGAAAAGATTGACTTCAACTATATGAGGTCATTTTGAGATGATGTCTCTTAGAAATGATGGGAAATAATGTGTAAGTGTAGGAAATCTGGTCCAACTTATCATGTCATAGCAAGTATGGCCTGGCAATTTGAAGTGATGCATACAAAATTGTAAAAATAGAGATACTCAAGACATAAGACAACTAATTTTACAAACTAATTCTAGTTCATCCATGTTCATGTATGATACAAAGTTTGATCATCAAAAGTTCCATAATTTATTTACAACTTGCATCATTATGCATGATTTTTCCTTTCAATGCATAAGAATGGGTTGGTGTGAAAACACTATTACTTTATTTGTATCAAGACTTACAATTTGTTTCAAGAAATACCATATGGAGTAACAGCAAAATGATGTAAAGGTGTAAATTCAAGCATAATTAGTTAAAACTACCTACTATAATTTGCTTGACATCAAATTTATGGAATTCTATCAACACATAAATTTGTTTGTTTGACTGCACATTTTATTGATAATAAAATACCCTTGCCAAAAAATAGTATAAACTTTGAATTTATGTGATCCCCTCATGATGGTATAGCATTATTTGACGTTATAAAATCGTTCTTAACAAAATGAAAATTAGAGGCCAAGATTTTTAATATAACTTTAAACAATGCATCAACTAACAATGTATCTTTTGATTGTTTAAGGAAATATTTAAATTTACAGAGTAGGCTTTTATGTGATAGCAAATTCTTTCGTGTGCGTTGTTGTGCACAAATTATAAATTTAATTGTTAAAGAAGATATGAGAGAGATAGATGAGTCTATCTCAAAAGTTTTTGAAAGTATTTTATATGAAATGCTCTCAAGTGTGTAAAACAAAGCTATCTTGAAGCTAAAAGAGGTTTAAGGAAAAATGTTCTGATTAGATAAAATTCCACTTTCATTATGCTTAATAATGCTTTATTATAGACATTTTTTTACATTTAGAGTTGGGTGATTCAAACTATAAAAGTTGTCCATCAAACAATGAGGGGAAGAAAATGGTGAACATACACAACTTCTTGGCACCTTTTTATAATATCACAAGTGCTTTTTTCAGGAATAAAAAAATATCCTACTGAAAATCTCCATTTTTCAATCATTTCTATAGCTTATATGACATTGAGGCAGGAAAGGTCAAGTGTCCATGATTACATGAAGAAAATGGCAACAAGCACACTTTCAAATTTGAAAATTATTGGTTAGATTTTCGCATAATATATTAGCAATCACTTTTACTCTAGATCTGTGATATAAGTTTGATCTTATTAAAGGGTATTATAAAAAGTTCTATAGTGGTGATTATCTTAGAGAAACTGCAAATGTGAGGGAGAAGTTCTCATTATTTGCAAATTAATTTAAAGCAAACATGCATAGGTCATTCTCACATACATAAGAAGTAACAAAAGCATCTCAGAGCAATCTTTCGAAATATGTTAGTTTAACAATTATAAAATCTCAATTTTTGTAGGTGTGATATTCTTCTTTTGCCTTAAGTCCATATATTTTTGCTTTAGTCATGGATTTTCTAGTCATGGATGTTCTCACTAGACAATTGCAAGAGGATGTACCTTGGTGTATACTTTTTGCTGATGATATTCTTCTTGTTGATAAGACTATAGCCTGAGTTGAAGTTAAACTTGAATTATGGAGGTCAACTTTAGAGTCTAAAGGTTTTCGCTTGAGTAGATGTAAAACTGAATATATGGAGTGTAATTTTAGTAGCAATAGACCTAGTGAGGGGATTGTGACTTTGGGCGATCAAGTCATTAATAAGAGTACACATTTTAGATATTTAGGATCTATTGTTCAGAGTGATGGTGAAATTGATGGGGTGTGCGATACAAAAGTTCCCCTCAAACTTAAGGGAAAATTCTATAAGATGGTGGCGAGACCTGCAATGCTTTATGGCGTCGAATGTTGGCCATTAAAAGAGAAGCATAATACTAAGTTAAGTGTTGCAGAGATGAGGATGCTTAGGTGGATGTTAGACCGGTCCAGAGAGGACCGGCTCTATTTGTTTACGGGAGAAGAAAACAGGCAGAACCAGCCAGGGAGCCGGCGGAAACAGCAGGGAAGGAATAGGTGGGGTCCACTTGTTTTTCAAATTGAATCTTGGAGCCAAAAGGAGTGGAAGCAAGGGCAATAAGTTAGAAATTACAATTTATTTAGATGAGCCCAAACTTGATGGGAAGTAGAATTGGATACTTACATTATCAGAAGGATAATCAATACAAGTTTCTGAGATTTCTACAAAAGCTTGTGGTATTTTATGAATTTGATGGTTTAAAATTGCATAGTTAGATGCCCATTTGGCTCATCTGATGCAGTTAAAAAAATAATAAAAAAAGATAATGAGGCGTACACCTCACGCTTGCTAGTTGAGTCTTGCGCCTCCATTAGGGTGAGATGCGCCTCAAAGCACACCATAACTCAATTTTAACACAATTTTGATAAACATAAGCCTAAAAAATTAGGGTTTAGGCAATTTTAAATTTTTAATTTGTAAATTGCATGTATGAAATTAAACATATTTATTATACCAAAATTAAACAAAACTTGAGAACTACAAAACCTTAATTCGCAGCCACATGCCACAAAATTCTCATGCCCACACCTGATCTGGCTACATCACCATCGTTGTTTATCTTCCAATGCCTCTCGTCTAATCGTTTCTCTTGTTTTCAATATGAGGTAGGAGATGAAGTAAATAACTACAATAATGATTATAATGAAGACCCTCTAAGTAAAGAAAGTGGAAGAATTTTTAAATTATAAAATTATGAGTTTAAACTAATGCTATGTTAAACTTGGAGAAGTAGAGAATATTTATTTAGCTTTGTTTGTAACCTTATATGACTTTTAATGGCCTTATTTTAACTTTTATGATATTGCTTGAATATCTCATTTTGATGTGAGTATATTATGCATTATTTCATGTTTTTCATTAATTTAACAGTTTAATCCTAAAGCTGATGCCTCAAACACATAGCTAGGCTCATGCCTCACCTCACAAAAAGAAAATGCCTCAATATATGATTGTGCAGTTTCAAACCTTCGTGTATTACAATTTCTTCCGTTGCTTCAGAAAGTGCATTTAGTAATAATAATAGAAGAATTCTTTATCAATATCAAAGTGAATTAAAGCATGATATTATTATATTGAGGCATTAGTATGTGCAAAATATTAGATATATGGTGATCAAGGTAGGATCTTTACATGTTTATCATTATTAAGCAAACATGTTTTCAAATACATTGTTATTATGTTTCTTTCCTTATTGTAAACTTCATGGATTCTGAACTTGTTGAGATCACGGACAATATCATGTACACTAATGTTAAAAAAATTAAAATGAAGATTGGTTTAATTAACAAACTAAATTAGTGCTTTTAAATTGTTTGGTGAGGGAGAAGAATTCTTGATTGGCATATTTGTGAACTTTGTTAATCGTTAGTTGGACCAAATTAGTACTTTTTCATGTGGACATTTTGTTAATGCACTTGCTAGGTGATATGATCTACGTCTGAAATTTAATTATGTCAATTAATTTAGTTGTTTGTTTGTGTATTAATATTATACTTATGTTCATGTAGAATTTTTCACTTCTTCATAAGCTCTCATTCAGGAATAAATATATGATGGATTATTATTCCCAGTTCACATAAGTATAATGTTTAAATTGCATTATCATTACATCTTCATTTTTTTTGTTTTTAAATGAACCAACAAACCTCTTTTTTGTAGCAGCAAAATGCCATGGATGTTGTATTTGCTTGGAATTATAGCTAAACCATTCAACATTGATTGGCAAGGTATATTTGTTATCAGCTTCTATCAAGTGGAAAGTGCAATGAGTGGCAAGGTATATTTGTTATCAGCTTCTATCGAGTGGAATGTGCACATGGATCCTAGTACATATATATTGATTTATATAGAATGCCACGTAAAAACACTGATTGGTGCATTCATGGAGAAAGACCTCTAAGGCAAACAAAACGTGCCAAAACGTCTGCATGCTAATGTTACTTCTTTTTTCTTGTTTGAACTTTCTAAGCAGCAACAAAGTTTACTGTCTAATGTCGTTAAAATTTAGTTTGGCCATTGGTGCAAATGTCATAGTCGCAGTATCTCCAGCAGTTTGCAAAGCTGGAGATTCAGTGAAGAATCTCTAACATATTTGTGAAACCTATTTGT